TATCTGGGTGAACTTAACAACAGCCAGGTTGAAGGCATGTGATGAGCAGTGCTGGCAGAGGGCCAAGGGGTTGGTCTCCTTTATGATAGCTGCTGCCCCCCTTGGAGTTGCCAGCTCGATCATAGGCCTGACCTCTAAGGTTATTAATGTCAAGTCCATACCCTGTGATGCTGGTTGTCACCTTATCTGCTACAATTCTGCTATAATGTGTACAGAGTATTCTTGGCAGCTGTGCCTAAGTGCATATCCAGAACCCTGTCTCCAACCTCCACACGGAAATCAAGGAGGGCCAGAAGTTGCCATGATTGGCAGTCCCATCACTGGCAACGTCCTTGGTATAGTGTCTGTGACCTCGCAGAGAAATGTTTTGATGGCCACAGAGGATAATAGTGTTGATGATGGCCCAAGGGGACTTTCTGGGCAACCAGGAAATCCCCCTGGGTGGTGATGGTGATGTGTGGTGATAATGGTGATTGGGAGGGGTGGTGGTGGTTGTGGTGGGGGGGGGGTCGAGTTATTGGTTTACTAGTAGTACCTGTATCACTAATACATATATACCCTGAACGGTATATATAATCCACATTGCCTGTAATTGTCTATATGAAAAATTAAAACACACTTTTCTTCACTATAAGTTTTTATTCCCCTCCTTTGGACCCTATACACGATATGATATAGTTATAATGACAATGTCGTACACATAGTGGTATCCTCATACAGTACTCAACAAAATGTGTTAACCTGACTAGTACTCCACTTGGTTGCAACTACCTGCTTATTGACAAATAAAGGTTAGTAATTATTCCCCTATAACATCTCTGGACTTATATCCTACAATTAAATAAAACTTAATACAAAACTTATAACTTATTACCCAACAAAAAGTTTCCTTTGGTTTTACACAGTATTAGATCTGGAGAAATGCCCGACCTCTTGTCTCTCATTAAACTAATTTTTTTTATAAATTTTCCTTCACACAGTTTTGGAGCACATCAGGTATCAATAAATTAATGTTAATATTTAATGTTCCAGGAAAAAAAAAATAATAATCTGGATGAACTGCCAGAGACTTGAAATGCAACATCACAGAATTGATATTTTAGTTCCAAGTACGTATAATGTACAAAATAATTCAGGCCGAGATTCATAACTTACAAAAGATAACCACCTAAATACCAACTTCGAAGAACCATACAAGGGGCAGTTAGCAACCGGTCTCTTTCCATAGAGCGTTCTTTCTCACTGAGGTAACGTGGACAGCAAACTAGGGCAGGTTTTGACCAAATTTTACTTTTCTGAACATGGAATTTGCCTCTGATCTGCTGTATGAGATTCTTTTTATACAAATTTAAACCTTAACAATTAAGAATAGACTGATTTACACTGCCAGGGGGGTTTTCTACAGCCTAGTCTGCTGCTAGAATAACATTGCCAACACAAGCCCACTGGTGTGTTTGGGTACAGGACAGTCTAGGCTGGGCTGCAGGCTACCAAACCAACTAACCAATATTATTGCTAGGTATCTGATTTAAGAAAAGTTTATCAAACAAATACTTGAATAAGAAAATAACACAAAGAAAGGGACATCTTCTTGACCATTACAAAATTAAAAAACACATTATGCTAATTTAAAGAGTAACTCACTGTACAGTATTGCCACAGATAATCTTACCTTATAGCTCATGAATATGCGCTAAGGTTGTGCCAGCAACCTAGTCTAGGTATCCTTGCTTGAGATGGTAGACATGTACTGGCAAAGTGTTCAATTTAAAGGTCACTTGTCTCTACAACACACTTAGTAGGCAATAATATAGGGAAAATGACATAATGCAGCAAAGCTACTGACCTTCATATCAAAATAAAAATAGAATGTAATCTTACAAAAAATAAAAAGCTATAGCAAGCCTGTAACTTTTGTTCACTGGGGAAAGGAATGTAAGCACAGCAATAGAAATGAACCTTATCAATGCTTTAAAAGTATTAACTTTACTGAAACACAAACATTGTCCAGAACATTACATGGAAAACGACAGCTAGTAACCTTCAAAACCAATGGATTGTTCTGTAATCTGTAGAAACTACTAACAGAATATTCCTTAGAAAATGGCTTCGTTATCTTGTTGTAAGGCATAGATTGTTGGACAATTCTAGAAAGGGCACTTAATTAATTATGCAATAAGTATAACTTTAACCTAGGAAAGGAATGGTTGTCCACTGGTTTTGTCACATGTGGTTCTTTACATAACCATCAAATGGAATATGTAAACAAGGGCCCTCTAGAAAAGCCGACTGGCCAGAGTTTCAGATGAGAAGAATCCATAATCTAGAACTTTTGTTTTTTGTAAAAACAAGGAAAAAAAGACAATTAGTGGTTATGAACTACAGCACAAAGGGTCCTAATCGTAAACACTACTGAATGGTTCATCCAACTATAGACACCATAGCAACACCTTCTCACCTGAAATCTACTTGCCTACTGATATGTACTAAAAGAACATCACCTGTTGAGCTTATAACAGCTACAGTTTTCAAAATGGACGGAGAAGTATCAAGCTGAGAGTTTCAAAGTCTAAACTGAGGATCATATACATAGGTGCAGAAGGTGGGCATTTTCTCACAAGGCAGCAGAAGGGACATCAAGTTACCTGTAAGATCACAGTGATACTGAGCACAAGAGTCAGGGCTGCCTTACTCATTTTTTTTTTATCTTGTCTTTCTTTCATTATCTTGAGCAGAGACCTCCTGTCTTCTACCAAAAAGAAGTGCCTGCCCAGGGAAGAGGAAACCCAACTTTAATATTATTTTTCCATTTACATTATGGCAAATTGGTCATGAAGTAGATGAACATGCAAACTCCAAAATGTTACAATGTATTATAATTTAGAAGAGTGAGACAGACTCCTGGACAGGCTACTTGTTTCTGCAGTGGTGATACCAACAACTATTCTGCATCTCCTCAGATTAGACTTGAAAATGACCCACCAAGCTTGATGGTAACCACTGGGGTTTATTCAGCAGGCGGAACAAGGGGCATTCAAAAGCAACAGCTTTTTGTTTGCTGTTCCCCAGCCTACATGCAGGGGCACACAGGTTCATCACTTAAAGCTTAACACTCATCCTAATTATTCTTAAAATCCAAAATCCCGTAGCAGGATATCAAAAACTCAATTAAGATAAAGTTAATGAGAAACGTGTATGCCTCCTAACAAACACTGATGAATACATACTACAATATGACAAAACAGATATGTATATTATATACCACATTCAGCAACTGAGACAGTAATGTGGACTTGCCCTACATTACCAGCAAGAATGTTCACAAGCTACATTGAAAAATTCTCTAAATTTGAGTGTGGGGCTTATCATATGGTCTGCGTAGGTTTATACTGGAAATATCCTACAATGAACACAGAAAGGGAGATTTTGAACATTAAAATATAAAGTATTTCTCCAATTCTAACCTGAGTGTAGCAGGGCAAGTCCTAGTCAAACAGTCAGCCTCCACTGGCTAATATGTACCTCATACATATTATGGTTCAACATCAACAACTAAGACTGGAATAGTGGAACGGAATAGAGGCAAAAAATATGGACAATCAATATTTTCTAACACTAGCAGAATAGTGTTAATATTTACAAACAACAACATGGATGTATGCCACAGGTACTTAACATGAGACTTGTAGCTCTGATGCATGGTCAGGGATATAACCATCCAGTTACATTGAAGGTCATCCTTGTGTAGCACACATCAATGTGTCTATGTCATTTCATTAATTAAAGGTTTATTGCTATCAATAAACATAGCTTCATATCAACTGACACACCAAAGATTTTTTTTTTAGGATATGCAAATTAAAACTATACATTTCAAACACTGGTAAACATAAAAATTCAAGGTGCAGCTGAATATATATATATCAGCACCTTGTTTTCATGTTAAAGTGAAAAGCTCCATTATCATCTGCACTCCCAAATGCTTGCCAGGACTTACTACAGAAGCACATCTTGTATCTGGCATATCATACACTCAAAAAATATTTTCTTCTATTCTACTGCATACCCATGCTTGCTGTTACCCCTTCGTATGAGCTGCGACTGCTTACCTTTGGTATGGGTTCCTAGATGAACTAGAATTCTTTGGTACATTCAAGGAACAATGAATAAATAATCTAGATTCACCTTGACTTGCCTGAGATTCCTTCTCATCAAGGAGAACACTGTCAATGCCCTAGGATTAAGTATACACAAAAACCTGGAGCTCTTCTGGTGTTATGACAGACATATGTGCTTTGAGGTTACAGCAAGCATGTGGCATGATAAGCTTATTAAATCTTCTAAGTATTTCTATGTAAACTGGGTTTGTTCTGAAAGAGCAGTGTTGATAAGGTGAGACTGGAAATGTCTTCAACCTTATTCCAACTTTGTTTTTGAAAAAGTAAGAGGTTCATAGCAAACCTTTTCCCCCTTAAAACTTAAAAATGAAGCAAAGAAAAATTGATTATTCATCAATTTTTCATTGCGTGTAGCAAATCTTTAAATTTAGCCATGAAACAGGCTTTTATCTTCAATGACCACAACACCGAAAGTCCTTCAATATTTATATGCAAGTAAGGATAATTGTAACAGCAGTTTTATTTATATATATATATATATATATATATATATATATATATATATATATATATATATATATATATATATATATATATATATATATATATATATATATATATATATATATATATATATATATATATATATATATATATATATATATATATATATATATACATATATATATATATATATATATATATATATATATATATATATATATATATATATATATACATATATATATATATATATATATATATATATATATATATATATATATATATATATATATATATACACATATATATATACACATATATATATATATATATATATATATATATATATATATATATATATATATATATATATATATATATATATATATATATATATATATATACACACACACAACTGGAAATCAAAATTTTCCAAACTCCGTTTCATTTATATTTAACAAATACACTTGCAGTTGGTAATAGAAATTTTAACCTTGACTGAATCATCATTAAGAAACAGTTTGCTTTGTCTGATCTTTGATAAACTATGTCTTTAGTTTAAATTCAATCTTGTAGACAATTTTTCCTCCTGAAAATTTTCATTATCATCTTGACCCTGCAATGATGGCTATATGATGTATAGAACCAGGAGGAAAGATTCCTAGGCTAGCACAGTTATGATGCCAGGCGCTCCATGTGGGCTGCAGGTCGTGGCTCCATCAGTTTCAGTCTTGTGTCCCTGAAATATTGAAATGGACAACTTTTAGAGAGATAAAAACGATACATAAACATGTATAAATAATTTGTTCAACAGACATTTAAAATGGTTAAGAAGTCTTAAAATAAAGAGGAGCATATATTTTGACTAGGATGAAACAGCTTTAAACCAGTCAATCTTTACTCCCAGTCCACCCTGCTGTAATGAATACCAAACTTTTACAAGTTGGAGAAGTGAAGGTGGTTAAGTGCAGTGCTGGCCACACTGTTTCAACTGTTTAATGTGTAGTCATGCCTCTGGTACCCACCTATTCCTTTATATTTCTTTCTATGGTTGACCAGCATACAAAAATGTTCTAAAGAACTTGCTTTAACTACTTGTACTCTAAACAACAATTGCAAAAAATGCATCCAATGTGAATTTAATGAGGAAGAGGAACATTTATATTCCATGACAGTCAGTCAGTCATCTACAATAAAAGAAACAAATTTTTTTTTTTTAAATCTATTTTTATGCTTGTACATTAAAATGGTGGTGGTAATGACCTAGACACCTACCCTGTACAGTACAGCCATACCTCTTACAACAAAATTTTTTTCTTAAGCTACAAAACAGTTCAAAACTTCTCCAGGAGACCACACAGCACTCCCCACCTATTTTGAGCTATATGCGAAATCAAAAAGTAATGTGATGATGATGACTGCTCACAGTGCTCAGCCAATCAACTCTCACCTCTGTTAGTTTTAAACACTTCCTGCAGGCATGTGGTTAGTACACATGCATTTTTAACTAAATTTTAATCCAGCTTATTTCATGTAAGGATTAAACACCCAATCACTAACCTAACCCCTCAAGGTAGAGTCTTTAATCAACAGGTGCAATGAGCTGGGATGTCTAATCTTCAGGTGGTCCAGCTAATATCATAAAATAACTATACTGTATATACTGTACACTGGGCAATAAAGAAAAATTTAATTAACATATAACACTGTACAGTCTTGAGAATGTGGAACCTTCAGTTATATGGAAGACTCCAGTTATCTCGGACATCAAGAAAATGTTAAAAAATTCATAGGAAGGGGGGTGTGTAGTGTTACCATAGTTCACACACACACCACTCACATGGCATGTGTCAGCTGAAGGCCAGTGATAAATAGATTTAAGCCAAAAGTGAGTCTACTGAAAATTACATTGCTGATTTTCAAGATAGTGAAGGATGAAGGACATGTGTATAGTCTTGAAGAATTAAATAATGCAAACAAGACACGTTTCTTTTTAGGTGTTTGCCTCGTAACACTTGGTGGCACAGAGGTGGCGGCGTACGATATCAATATCTAAGGAGAGGCTTACTATTCCAACGTGTGCAAATGCTGCCGGCACACACAAAAGTAAACTATTTGTAATAGCAAAGAATGCCAAGCCTCATGATCTGAAAGGCATGAAAATTATACTGTATATGTACTATACTTTACAAGGCTAATGGACAGGCCAGGATCACCTGAGGCTTGTATGAAGTACTGTACTACAGTATACGGTGAGGCTGTCAGTGGACTGTAAACGGTCTTTCATTAAACTGCTCAGTTCAGCATAGGGTGTTTTTCGGTAAAAAAAAACTCGTCCAATACCAAACTTTGTTCGGTATATAAGAAAAATTTATTTACTTTTAGTCCAGATGAATTGTCACAGTGCCAGATTTTTCTGTTACTGTATATAAAATATAATTTTGTAACAAGTCTTTAAAAAATACTAAATACAGGTATTGTACATAATACATAAAGGAATACAGTAACACAGATATTGTACAATAAGTAGTTCTATATTACATAAACAGCTCCTTCCCTGGCTGGCTGGTCACCTGTTAGTACTATGTAAACAGAACACCAGAAATAATTTAATACAGTACAACACAATAACTCATCTGGGGTCGAGTGTGGGATCTTTTTATTGGAGGGGGGGCTGATAGTGGTTTTACAATAAAGTTTTATTAGTTGAGCATCAAATAAAGCTAAATAATAATTTAGTAATTATGGTAAAATTATATACTGTCATTCTAAAGGAGTTGTGGGACCAGATTGGGAGGGGTTCCCTCCGTTACAGCCGCCCTACCTCCCATCTATCCCACACAAAATTTACTTCCCACTTTATAGTTTCATATTATATTGTCTTTATTTCTAAGTCACATTACAGCATTGTATTACTGTACAGCAGGCATGGGCAACATTTCCTCAGTCATGGGCTCCATTATGATTGAGGTATTTTTTTGCGGGCCAACCCACCAAAAGTTGTATCCTGCCTATCCCAAAAGCAATGTTAATATTCAAGTAAAATGTTTACATTGTTGACTGTTTATACTTATTTCTCGGTTACGTTTTCGTAGTTACTTACTCTTAGGTTATGAAACAGGAATGAATTGTGTGACGATAATTCTTTTAATAAATATTGCTTTATTCACCGTAAGCTGGTGGCATCTACCTGAACCACGGGCCACATTAAATAGAATTTCTTGTATTCTACAATCACTCCACGGGCCACAAAAAGACATGGTTCGGGCCGCGGGTAGCTCATGCCTGCTGTACAATATTATATTTGAATATTTAAGGAGGGGTTCAGTAGAAGGTTTGGTATACAGTATAAAGAATTCATTCAGTATACAGCATACAGTATAGGTAATACAGGAATCTGAGGAGTGGTTTGGTATAGAGAGGTAGTACTGTACTGTAACATGACAAAGTACTGTAAATTAAACCATAATTTCCATTTCTGTGCTGCTCACTTCACTATGCTGATGATGATGCTGGGAGTCATGTATGTAGGTGAAAAACATAATCTGGACTCGGTACAGTACTGTATTTTAATTTATCCGGAAAAAATTCCCCCTACCACAAGTGATATTTTTGAAAATTTAAATACAGTATTGTAATGTATAAATTACAAAAACTTTTTTATACCATAGAGAAAAAGATGTAAAAAGTAACAAATTTATTGATAACTATGCAAGTTCCTCTCACTGCTCTTAAACACATCTGTCGGGCATTAGTATCCCCGTGTTTCCCGGCTTCTGTTTACAAGATGGCACTCTATCTTTCATCTCGCAACTTCACCATTAATATTTAATACAATGGCCCAAACGGTGTAAAAACGTTAAGATATCCTCTACACCTTCCCCTGGTACAAAATATAAAATAAAAACAGTGAAGGGCCTAAACTATTGCCAAGAGAATGAAATTCCCCTAAGACCAAGGGTGGGACCACAGGTGGCTCACTAACATGTAATCAATGAATCCGCTACTTGCCAAATGAAGAAGCAATGGATTAGATGAATGTTAGTTGTAAAACATACTTTACTTTAGGAGCACGGCGGTGGAGTGGATACAGCGATCGCCTCCTGTTCCAGGGGTTGGTAGTTCGAATCCCGGGTGCTCCCAGTTCACCCAGCTGTAAATGGGTACCTAAGTTTACAACTTGGGGAAGTGAATGCAGTCGAGTGCACTACCAGCCATGCTGCCTCCTTGTGCATCAAAAGCTTAGTAAACAATGTGCTGCATCCACACTGTTCCTAACAGGCAGTTATGCCTATGGGACCCACTTTATACAGTACTTTACATTTATCCTTTTTCCACTGATTGACTCATTAGCTGCTTGGATGGTTGGTCATGTCTCTGTTACCCACTGTTGGCAAGTACTGGCTCCACAATTTATTTGTACCTACGGCAATGTTGGTCAAGTCTGGTCTTTGAATGAGCTCACACTCGATGCCATCGCAATGCTCTCTGGTATATTGTTGCAAACATTTACAAACCTCGCTCAAAAAAGTTTGCCTCGACAGTTTTCTGTACTTGTGGCTTCTTCGACCTTAATCTGTGACCCCTAGTGGGGCGAGCATTTGCCAGCTCCAGGTATGAACACTTGACTGAGTAATGTCCTCTGAGGTGTTTATAAACTTCTATTGAAGTCACTCCTTGCCCACCTATAGTGTAAGCTAGGCATTGTAGGTGGTCTAATCTTTCTGGGTACCTGAGGTGCCGTAGTGCAGGCACCAGCTTATGTCTTTAGCATATCTCAGACACAAGACAGTACTCAACACTGGAAGCACCTCATTTTTGAAGAGCGTTACGAGGGACGGACTATCTAGGTATCTGAATGCCCTTCTTATAAGACCCACTAGCTTAATTGTTTGATTCACCTTCTCACATTTGTCCAGGAACTTCTGTTCATTATCAACATACACACCCAGGCCCTTTTCACATCTGGTCTCCATTACTGCTGTTTCTTTGTCCTGCCGAGACATGAGATAAGCTTCCTTACTGTTGGTGGCGATGAATCTCATCAGCCATTCCTTTGGCCACTCCTGAAGCTGACAGACAAATTTCTGCAGTTCTTCACAGTCCATTGTTTCTTAATTTCCCTAAATAACTTGCAATCATCGGGGAACATTTGTATGGAGGAGTGTATAGCTTCTGGCATGTCATTTATGAAACGACCAACAATAAACCCAGTACACTGCCCTGCAGTACCCCACTTGTCATGGGTATGCATGAAAATTTTGTGCCATTAATCACCCTAGATTGCTTGTAGCCCTAAAGTCTCTGATCTGCTCCAGAACACCCCCGCTCCCCACAAATTCTGCACCCTTCCAGTTCAATTTTCAGCCTTTCATGGGGGTATGTTGTTGAAAGCTGTATGTATCATTATACTGTACTGTAAGTTTATTTTATATTTGAATAAATTTGGAATTAAATCCCTACTTTTAGAGGGGTAGATAGAAGGTTTTTATATTAATAAGTTTTGTGGGCTGGAGGGTAGAAATTCAGAATACATCCTGTTTTTTCCCAGTTATTAAATTTAATTCCCCCAGTGTTCTCCAGTATTGCACCATGTTTTGTAATTGGCATCTGGTTTTATGTAAGCAATATAAACTGAAGACTAAATACTGTACAGAAAAAACTGTAATAAGGTCTGTAACTAGATTTCCTTACAACTTGAGAGGTATAGTATGAAATCCCTCGCCTCCACACAGACAAGGGCCAATCAGTAGCTTTGGCCGAGTTTTACTGCCTGGTTCAGTCAACTATTATGTGTGAGATCCCACCACCGAAAATGATTCTCAATAAACTTAAATTTTGTTTTCCCAATTTATGCATTTAAATATTTTTCTTCTAATATCATGTGGTACAATTATTTCTACAAATTAAATTGACAGTACTATACTATATTATGCTTTTCACCAATAACTCCTGACGTCATAAGCAGCAATGTTGTTGTAAATTGTGTGGTAAAGAAATGAAGGACTAAACTGGTTCATCATCATGTATAAAAAACTCAAACCTGGTGGCTATGGAAATCAAAAGTTAACTGTTTGTACCACATATTGACCTCAAACTCTTAACTAAATTTAAAACTTTTCTAACATATAATTATAACAAGCCAGAATATACAAGAAATAGCTTCAATTCAAGTTAAAATTGCCTCTGCATTATATGTTAAGAAAATAAACCAATCTGCATCCACAAACCAATGAAATAAAGATAAGATTTCCTCATAGACGGCTGGCCTCTCTGGACGAGTAAACTCCAACATACTGTACTCATCTCTGGCCAGGCCGAGAAGTAAACATTACATTCATCAGTGTACGGTCCCCTTCACTAGTGCACTTACAGGGCTCATCAGGTTTTGTGCAGTGTGGTTGTTTACATTCAACAGAAGGAACTCGCAATAGTAAACACATTATAGACTAGAATTAAAATGATAATGAAACAAATACATCAAAGATACGGTAACAATTTGTGGAATGTTTATATGATGAGCCCCTGTAAATGCACTAGTGAAGGGGACTGTACATGCAGCCAAGCCTCTCGCCATGTTACCGAGTGCTGGTAGGGCCAATGATAACACAAACATCGATAACTTTAGTATGTGAAACCTATTTGGCATATAACCAATACAAACACTTAAATACTAAATTTGGTTGTCTTTTGATACTTTAATTATCAGTAGTGAGTCTAACTAACCAGATTTGGGCAATGATGACCATTATATCTTAGCTAGACAATTTTTCATGTATATTTAAATAAGGTTTTATCTAGTAAATACAGTACTTTTCATAATAGCTCTCCTCCACCCATGTTAAACTGGTGAAATATCCTTATGTTTCTCCTGGCCAGTACTGTACACGGAGTGAAGTGTGCCTAAATTCTCAAAGGCTCTACACTATATTTTTTGTTATAACTAAAGATGTAAGAATGCACTCTCAACTGGCTCATTTTAGCTATTATGCAAACTGCTAAGTGGTCTCTATTGCATGGAGATTACTGTAACTACTACTGTATATATGAATCATCATAATCCTGGTTAAGGGAACAACTTTAACATATCAATCTTTGAAAATAAGGACTGTAGACACAAATGAACTCAAGTATTTTGAACTACAAACAGCAGATGGAGTATTAATTGTCTTTTCATACTTTGATTGAAACGGTTTTAACAATATTCCATAACTACTCTAATTTTTCATCACTAAACCTTGCATGTACCCTGGTAAGGACCTACCTCGTGCATCAACAGCTTTGTGATCTACTTACTAAATAACAGTCTACATCCATTTTTAAATTCACTCCCTCTATGTCCACACACACACAGCTGTCCTACCAATCAGCAGAGTGGTTCAAGAGCAATCTCCACCATGCCATACTATTATTACACACTGCAACACCTCTGTCACTTTTCTCTAGGTCTTGCACTACCTCACTAACTATCTTGCTGTTCTTTAAATAAATTCTTCCCATTTATAATACACTGGAAAAATTTTAAGTGGTTCCCATAGGCATGAAAGTCCAACAGGTACAGTCCATTTAGTACAGTACACAGAGAGGCAGTGTGCCCGGCACTGCATTTGATGGCCTTCATTTCCCCAACTGTGAAGTTTGGTCCCATTTACAGCTGGGTGAACTGGGGATGCCTCGGAAATGACCCAGCAACCCAGGAAAGAGTGGAAAATGGCCCTAAAACATTTATGATGATGAACAAACATTAGGACAGAAGACAAGCTTTGAACCCAATCAGCTGACTCACCCTTGTATCGTATTCGACTATTATTCAAAGATCACGTGAGGTGCTCAGGGAGCAGTGAAGAATACGCCAAAATAACTTTTTTGAGATAATCGCGTTTAAACTTGGTGTAACATATTTTCCTTGTATCGCTGTAACCCACCACACAATCATGATGAAATTCGCGACAAAAAATTGGATATTTAGCCACGATTATCCCAAAAATAAATTTTGTCTCAGTGTATTTGTCAGTGTTCCCCAAGTGTTTCACGTGTGGTGCAGTAAAACAATAAAGAACATTACAGCCACTCTCCAAAGTCTGGTCATGTACTGCACTCATATCAGTCTTTTTCTCAATGCCACTAAATGACCTAAATCCTTTCCCTTCATACACTTATCACCAGCAACTCTCCATCATAAGTAAATAGGATCTGATCACTGATGCTCTCATTCAAGTACTGTAACTCCTAAACACTCGCATTTTGTCACCTCAGTAATAACAGATAATCACTAGTACAAGTTACAGGGTAATTTCATCATTGTTTCAGTCATGTATTATGATTCATACAAAAGAAATGACTTTATAAATTTAATTGCAATTAATTTCTTTCTTGTACTCTTAGATGTTGTAAGCAAGTTTGATTGCTTCAAAACACAAACAAGCAGACTATGCTTTTGAAGTCTCAGGGAGTGACAAGATTACTAGCTGTAATTTGAACCATTTTTGACAAGCAGTGCAAGTTTTTCATGGATTCACATCATAAGGAAGGAGGACACCCACTTTAAACATGTTGCTTTACCCTGTAACTTAGTCTATAGCAAAAAAATAAATAAAATAACAGCAGAGGCTATTTTTGACTGGAAACCAAATACCGTAATTATGTGATACCCCCATTCAGACTAACTTCCCGCAAACACCACCATCAATCCTCTCCCTTTACATATACTGTATAAGAATGATTTTATTATGTGGTTATATTTAAATATTCAGATTTTTTCATAGGGTTCAATAACTGGTACATTAGTAGTTACAGAGAAGGGATGATCCTGTACTGTTACAACACCTGAACAAGTTCCCGACAAACCTAAACTAAAACACTGAAAAACCCTCTTTTAAAATTTGCTACCGTATTCATATTCAACATCTAAGCAAAATGAAAGTACTTTAATATTTACAGGACAGCTGCTAATGTTTTATTTGAATATATTCTTAAGGGAAGTTTGTTTAAAGATTTCTTTGTAATTGAAAAGTTCATCTTGGTCTGGTAGAGGACATCTGCACCATGAATACTGTACACACAACTTTAAGAAGCTAACTGTCTACAACAACACTCACAAGATGATGCATGTAGCCAAATATGAACACTCTAGGATATATTTTCCTGAACAAAACTAATTTTTTTTTTTTTGGATACCGAGGTGTGTGGGGCTGCGGGCTGTGCACTCCTGAGAGACCATGTGTAATCTGTGCCATACTGTAGGTGTTGCTCATCATGTAATACTTTTTAAGCATTAAAAAGATGAATATTATTTTTTATTAGTAAACAATAAGTTAGCACAAGATGGAAGTACTGTACAGTACAACATAAGAATAATGGAGCAGCTACACTTTACATTTTATCTGCTGCTGATTGAAACTTTGTTTACAAGAGCGGGGGCGGCAGAGTGGTTATTACTCTGTAATACATCAAGTTTGATTAAATGCTCTGCATTAAGTTGACGTGTGCTTGTAAATTTCAGAAATTAATTTGGTGACAGTTTAATATTAATTGAAAAGCTGCAAACAACTCTCTCTACCTGTTACAGCAGTCTACTGTACTTTGTAGCAATACTTTTACACAGCTTCAATGTCAACCCTTCAGCTATCATAAAAACACAACCATACACAAGCCATATTTTCCACCTCTGGTTTATTTTACAAATTACAAACATAAGGAGTATTTTCATAATTCTGAATGTTGCCTTGCTACATTAGTACAGTGTTTTGAAAGTGTATGAGAAGTCTTTAAGATATGCAAGACATTATGACATGACTCAATGAAAGTGGCAACCCACAAGCAAGTTAACAATTGGGGTTAATAACTGGGAGTTAATGTGTCTAAAAACTTTTGTCGACCTCAGACTGATAAAAATTAATTTTTATATGAATTGCATCACTACAGCACTTGTGTACTAAAGAGGTTAAAGATGAGCAAAGCTTATCAGGTGGTACAGATTTACCTACAGTGTGTATATCACTCAATTTTCCGTGGAATATAACATTTCTCAATTAACCTATTTTTGTTCAATCCAGAATGCAATTATTTTATACCTAGGTATGTAAATGCCTAGCATTAACTCGCCAGGCCAACATACAGGCAATTAAAACATCTAATAATTACTTAAATACGTAATATTAGGAGGACAGGACACGTCGCTACCTGGCATTTAATTGCAATATAACGGAGTACAAGGATGATGAATTGTATCTTACACTACTACAGATTACGAATCCAAAATAGAACCGTCAGAATGAGTACTTTGTTCAGGAAAATGAATAAGCTAGTTCATAAAATGTACTGCATAATTGATTTTGAAGACCAGAGGAACAATTCTTAAACAAATAAAGTCTGGCCCCTTTAATTACACATTTACGCTAGTTTCTTCCACAGAATAAAACAAAATAATACAGTAAATAAAAATAAAGATGCGAGATTATTATGGGTAGGATTTCATGCTGGACTAAATTATTGCATGCAGTATCTCGCCCTATTGACCATAAGGGAGGATGGCCCAGTTTAACAAAGGAATCAAGATGGAGTACAGTACAGGTACAGGCAAGTTATAACACTGGGGAGGATACCACTTTAATAAATCCATAATGTGCAACATACTGAATGAAAACAAATGTAGTACAGTAGGAGGAAGTTCTCTTACATTTACTATGTTCATGAACACTTCCCAAGTCTCATATGCTGTACTGAATAAATATGTGACAACTATTATTCCCATTTTGGGGCCACTTGCACCATCTTATATTAATACCTAAAAGGTACGTACCAACCTCGCCCATTTTATTCTTGGATGACTGCAGTGGATTCCCCGATCCCGAGGACACTAGACAAAGCCCTGCAGGTTAGAGCCAGAGAGGCTAACATCACCTCAGAAACTGGACAAAGGCAACAGGGTGCCTCCTTAGCAGAGTATGAAGCAGGAGCGGACATAGCCAGGAAGACCAAAGCAGGCAGGGTGTGAGGTAGGTGTGACTAGCCATGGTACTGTGTCCAAGACAGAGAGGAGGGAACCCAGAAAAAAAAATATCCCAGGATGAAAGGTCTCTTGTATGTAGCAAGAAGACATTAACAGAAGAAAGGTCTAGTGCAGAAATAAGGCTACTAATGAAAAATACTAGACAGAGGAAATATGCCATCAATATAAGTGGATATGTTAAAAGGTAATATTGGGGAATAGGGAGAAAAAGGGAGTGTGAGACAGGCAACTGGACAGAGACCAACAGGCAGTGGGAGGGAATGGCATAGCAACAAGTTAACACCACTGATTAAACCAAGACGACAGCTTAACTAAATTAGTAGATTTGAAAACTATATAGAACCCAAAGAAATTGCAAGTACAATTAATTTTGTGAGTTAGTAACCATCTAAGAGAGAGTCAATAGAAAGAAAGAAAAAATCTTTGTTTGAAGTGTACTTGTGTACTGATTATAAATAATTAATCAGGACACATGGAGGAATGTGTCAAATTTGAAAGTGTTGCTTGATATGAAGAAGCAGAGGTTCTGAATTTACTTGAGTAATAACTTTGGTATTGACCTGATCATTAGCATGGTTTGAGGATGCTAGGGCTGTGCACTCACAGGACTATTTTACTTAACACATATCCAATTATTCTGAGGAGAATTTTTAGATGATCCATTAACAAGATCAATTGAGGGATGTTAGGGATGGTCAAGACTGTGCAGGTTCATGGAAGTTAAGGACAAGGGGAAGAAACCTGGAAACAGTGTTGAGAAGTGATCAACCTCGAGTCATGGGAAGTGAGCATCCAACACCAAGAGTGGTCACTGACAGCCTTGAGCCAGTGTGTGCACTTTATATTATACTTCTCATGGCCACCACACCACCTTGCATAGGAAATGTTACTAAGTGAACTGGGAGATGGGGTGCAACCAACAAGGCACAGTCAAACTGAGGCTACACATTTAACTATGGTGAAACTGGGCTACTGCTGTGCACGTTTCAGTGTAATTACAGAAGTAAAGTAAACCTCCCCACTACTGATACCCATACTGTAAGAGATTTCTACTAACATTTTCTATAAATAGCTACAGTTATATTTACAACCAGCAACAATACTCTACTATGTAAGTTAAAAATAAAGGAGTTTACTGCTATGGAAACCATTAGTTGCAAGTCAACTCTATTTCTTAGGCAAATGGCAACACAATCTATAATGTCACATACAGTAGATATGATTACCATACTACAGTACTTCATCACCAGCTGACTGTCATGGAGGGATATTGCTCAACCTGGCTAAAGATTTTTATTGTATATTCCCTGAGTTTCCTCTTGTGATGTATGAGAGTGAAGGGCACAGTCATAATTATAATTCTTCAAGGTTACAGTTAGGTCTGGCCAAGAGTGATGCTGGTACTGTACTGTACAGGTGTCTTGTAATAGTGGTGAATTTTAAAAAGTAAGTTAAGTTAAACTATCATTTGAGTGCTCTGCCATGCAAGTTTAAGGCACTTATATTTCTGATTAATAATGCTTCCTCTCTTCGTACTTAAAAAATTTATGTACAATTTTATGACAAGCCTTATGCAAGCACCAAGTCCCTAGTATAATTAGTTACCACCAAAGTCACCAATATCACCATCATAAGCACCATCACCAACAGTTTCATTCCATTAGAGATTCCATATAAAACACGGAGTAGGTCCTACCTGGAGAAGATATCCTTGAGTTCATGCTCGGCGACATTTGGGCCAAGGTTTGCGATGAAAAGTGTAGAGCAGGGAGGATTGTGGGGTGCGGCGGGATGTTGAGGGGCTGCCGGGTGGGCCGAATGGGGCGAGCCAGCAGGTGAGGCGAGGGCGGGCGAAGGCATCACCACCCCTGCTGCATGAGACACCATGGGTGCGTAAGGCAGCGCTAGTGGAGGCTGTAAAAGACCACCACTGTTACCACTACATTGTAGACTACCATAAACTGCATTATCAACAGCACTGGGGAACAAGTACTGCAACTTGTACTCAAAGATAAGATATTTCAAATTTTCATTAAACTTGAGACAGTCATCTGCTTTATTTACTCTGTATTGCATTTGTTGTGTTTCTGAAAAGTTGCAACAAGAGCTCCTGTTAAAGTTCAAACATCTGGAGTTTTCAACATTTTATGGTGAGTATTGATTAAAGGAAAAACATTAATTATTGGCAAAAATAATAAGTTATTAACATCAAACTACACAAACTATGTGCAAAAATAATGAAAACTACCACAAAATCCAACAGTGTAAAATATCTAATGCAGAATAAATGTGATTTATGGTGTTAATGTGTAAGAAGCATAAGATACAATCATGATTTACTGAAATATTTATATATATATCAGAGGCACTAAAAAGAACTATAATGCTGGTGTACTCAGTGTATGCTGTACACACAATTAATTAATAATATAAATGAATGACAACATTACAAGCCAGGCAAATATTAATGGAAGATGAATGCACTGTATACAAAAATACTGTATGATGGTGGTGTTCATGTTCTTCTATTAACAAGTTAACACCAGCAGCACTAACATTTCATACCATTTGGTCTTCCTCAGTGACCAAAGTGAAATAAAACGTGTGGCAGCAACAAGTGGCTGACAGTTGTGACTTAAAACTGAGATTCATGATTGTAACTTTACTCTTCATTCACTACTAAACAAGCAAAGGACACAGGTAATGTACTTCAACTATTGCCTCACTTCTGTGTACACTACAAGGGATGGGATAAACATCTCTCACCACACTTACACAAATACTATACAGTACTGTACTGTACTGTACACTAAAACCTGAAACACTTTCGTGCCTTTATTACCAATTCACAATAACTTATATTAATGTATGGTACATAAAACTACACTGCTATAGTTAAAGTTAATACTGAAGAGTATCTCAAGAGATACTGAACAAGGTCATCCTTGTGTGACGTTACTGCACCATGCGTTAGTTGTTTCACAAGTGAGGACAGCGCTCATTATATTTTTATCATTATAACTACTGTACACCTCACTTGGGAACATATTGTTAACAATGTTCCATATCAATTTTAATATTTTTTTCCTTTAGTATGAACACTGTTTACAGTAATATACTGAAGTGGAATTTGCAAATAAGTTCTCTTGTGATGTACTGTATATATCACAACCACTAAATTATCTATTTTAAAACCAGGTATAATGACAAATATCTTTTTGTATAAAACTCCCATAATTATTTAAAAAAATCAACCATGAATATTTTACCCAATATGCAATAATGATAAAACTTCAAAACTAACAATTAAATATGTCAAGTAGTTGTCGGTCGTCAACGCCACAGTCTTGTTCGATTGGCAGCTGTTCTCTATAATATGCACCAACACTTGACACAACCTGCTGACAATTGTGTAAAAAAACACACTGTACTGCACTGTACTGCACTGTAGTTTAAGATAATGTTCTGACTTTCATCATAACAGATAATCATTACTATAACCACAGAAGTGGTAACAGTTGAAAGCTTTGGTGAAGGTTTAATTAAGGCTTTGGAACATCAAGAGAGGTCTCTTGACTAGACAGAGAACTGCATAAAAAGCAAATTATATGGTGTTAGTTTCAATGCTAATCCCTCATTGTTGACAAAGGAAAAAATACAAGTATTAAGTCAACAGAAATTTGTAGTCTTAGTGGTGCTTCAACAAAAAAATTTGCAGGTTAGAAGAATTGAACATAATGTACTAACACTTAGTTATATACTGTGACAAATGGTGGTGTGTGTGCATCTACAGCTGCAGGTGATGGTGTTGTATGAAGGGTCATGGCTGAAGGTAGTCAGTGTGTCAACAGATGATAAAATAAGATTTACAAGGTGTTGACGTGAGAGCAAGTTTCTGTTGACACAAGTGTACACATCATGAAATAAAAGTTCAATTGACAACATTAATACAGAAGACTGACATAGTGTATGTATTGTAAGGGAAATGAAATCGTCCAACCATTATGAAAACAAGCTAATGCAGGTTTGAAATAATGGCTGCAATATGTGTATCACTTACAGCATCAGAGATACATGTCAAACATAGTAAACAACCATGAAACAAATATGAATATTTTAGTCAACAGTTAATGACATTAAATAAACAAATTTAGGTAAACTTTAGACCAATGGAAGGCCTTGGGAGCCAACACAACCGAGGACCAACGAACACTAAGTATTTTCCTTGAAGATGCAGGTTGGAAAATTTTGAGTTGGGGAGTGTCAAGTGAGGCGGAGACTGGTGGCGTGTGGGGGGCGAGAAGCACTGAGCCACATCACACCAGGTGAAGTGGACAACACACATACAGGAAATATAGCCTGAAGAATGTGAGAGTGAGAAGCCAGAACAGAGACACAAGACAAGAGACCACAGGAGCAAGACCAACTGATGCTGACTTGTGGGAGAGCTTCCTTTAAGGCACTATATATCTCAGGTGCTACAAATTCTATGAGGAAGGAAATGACATGAGAAGTGGAAGGTGACTCACAAGGATAGAGAAGAATACTTGAGAACAGAGGATACGACATGAAAAGAAACAGTAAAGAGAGAGGAGGGAACTCACGACGGGGAGAGACGACTTATGAGAGAGAGAAAGAGAGCGCAGACGGCCCTTACACAGAAAGGAGGACAGATAAAAAAAAAGCCAATGTATAGAAAATAGGAGGTAGCTACAAGGCCAGACAACCTTACACTCACAGGGGAACAGTACTCATATAAGGGAACCTCATACACACAAGACATGTAAGATGGATGACGATGATGATTGCACGTGTTTATGTGGTGGAAAGAATATCAAAATAAACTGAAGCAGTGCGTGGACGGAGATATTTGTGGGGCATGGGGGAATTTGGCTTAAGCAGCTGTCGTGTGTGTGTTAACTACAATGCCAGAAAAAAAACCATACAACAGGTGTTAAAAATTATGTTATATAAATATTTTTTAATTTGCAAACAGCGTCCTCAGATCAGGGGTTTAGGCACTATGTGGGCTGTAAACATATCACTAAATTTACTGTGACGGAACTACTGAGTGATGTACGGTACTCCGGAGTGTGGACAGTGTGACTAATAATGTAAGACTTGTGTTGTGGCAAAATAAGAGGTGCAGAGATAAAGATTAAGAGATAGAGACTCAGAGTGAGGTAGGGAGAGATAAAGATGAAGAGACAAAGAGGGAGAGACGGGAATAAAAACGGAGACTGAGGAATACAGATAGAGTGAGAGAGAAATTAAGTGTACTGTAAGCGTGAGAAATAGCGGTTATAATTAAGAGGAAAAGTGATGTAAAGTAGATTAATAGTGAAAGACAGATAGATAAAGAAGAAGAGAGAGAGAGAGAGAGAGAGAGAGATACTGTTTACAACTGTGTGTGTGTGTGTGTGTGTGTGCACGTGTTGCACTGTGATGATGTGTGTGGATGTGCAACTGTGTAAGTTGGGAGTAACAGTGAGTGTGTGTGTACAGATAAAGACAGAACAGGAGAGATAGAGAGAGAAGCTAGGGGGTGGTACTTGTGGTACAGTAGTAGTTAACAGTGTCGGCAGTGATGGTGGTGCAGCGGCAGCAGCACAATGAGTGGGAGCAGTGCCGGGCGGGTGGTGGTAGTGAATGGTGGTGGTAGTATTGGCGACACACAAACAAGCTAACTGGACTGGCTCACTGCTGCCAGAGTAGTTGGAGAACTAACATGGACGTTGGTATGCGGTAGTGGCGGCCCCCCCTCGGCCGGTGGTAGATGATGTTGTTGTTGTTGTTGTTGTTGTTGTTGTAGTTTGTCTGGAGTTAGTCAGAGATAGGAACGTACTGGGACTTGAGCGTGGAGGGCTGGGAACAGAGCTGGGTGGTGCTGGAGGCCCGCCGCTGCAGCTGAGCCCGGCAGCTCGGCGGTGTAGGCCAGGGGGTGAGGGGCCAAACGTCGGGTGCACCAGGGAAGAATGCAGGGTTGAGCTTCACTGAAACACAAACACACACCATCACCACACTACTCCTATAACACACACACACACACACACACACACACACACACACACACACACATACACACACACACTACATCTGTACCTGATACACACAAACTATATGCATACACACACACACAAACAAGCAAACACACACTACAAATTGCGTTCTCATTCTACAAAAGCACAACACAACACAACACTCATCACCACATAAGAAACACCCTGTTCTCACACCTCTATCCTCGCCAACACAAGCATGACCCACATACTGTACAGTGTATATACTAAGCAAATACATCCGCCCAATCATGCACAGTTTGATGGCCCGATGTAGTTTATGTGGCCTTGATTGATGGCCCTATGTTTATGTGGCCTTGATTGATGGCCCTATGTAGTTTATGGCCTTGATTTGATGGCCCTATGTAGTTTATGTGGCCTTGATTGATGGCCTCTAGTTTATGTGGCCTTGATTGATGGCCCTATGTAGTTTATGTGGCCTTGATTGATGGCCCTATGTAGTTTATGTGGCCTTGATTGATGGCCCTATGTAGTTTATGTGGCCTTGATTGATGGGCTCTATGTAGTTTATGTGGCCTTGATTGATGGCCCTATGTAGTTTATGTGGCCTTGATTGATGGCCCTATGTAGTTTATGTGGCCTTGATTGATGGCCCTATGTAGTTTATGTGGCCTTGATTGATGGCCCTGTAGTTTATGTGGCCTTGATTGATGGCCCTATGTAGTTTATGTGGCCTTGATTGATGGCCCTCCTGGAACAAGTACACATAACCAATATCCACTATGTAAACAACCTCCCCTTTCCTCCCACAAAACAAAAAACAAACAAACAAAAATAAACAAAATGGGTGTTTATCTACAGTACTGTAAGTGATTGTGTATGTTGAGTATGAAGACTATGGTAATGTAAACAAGGGGTGGTCATGGTAGTGGGGTTCATGGACATCAGTAGTGGGCGTCATGGTAGTGGGCGTCATGGTAGAACAAGTGGAGGTTCGGGGGGATAATGGTAGTGGACAGGTGGTAGTCTCAGGTGGAGCCGAGGCAGACTTCACCACCTGCCCTGCTCTATCAGTGAACCATCCTGCTTCGCTTTGTTATTCCTTCCTACCAGTCCACTCTCCCACATTCGAGAAGGGGGGAGGGGAGGGGGGAGGGGGGAGGGAGGGGTGGGGAGGGGAGGAGGGGTGGGGGAGGGGGAGAGAGGGGGAGGAGGGGGAGGGGAGGGGGGAGGGGGAGGGAGGGGGGAGGGAGGAGGGGGGAGGAGGAGGGGGAGGAGGGGGAGGGGGAGTGAGAGGGGGAGGGGGAGGAGAGGTGGGAGGGAGGGGGAGGGAGAGGTGGAGGAGGGGGGAGGAGAGGGGAGGAGGGGGAGGAGAGAGGTGGAGGAGGGGGGAGGAGAGGGGGAGGAGGGGGAGGAGAGGTGGAGGAGGGGGAGGAGAGGTGGAGGGAGGGGAGTGGGGAGGGGGAGGGGAGGAGAGGTGGGAGGAGGGGAGGGAGGGGAGGAGGGGGAGGAGGGGAGTGGAGGGGGAGGAGGGGAGGAGGGGGAGGAGGGGAGGAGGGGAGGAGGGGAGGAGGGGAGGAGGGGAGGAGGGGTGGGGAGAGAGGTGAGGGGAGGGGAGGTGGGTAAGAGAGGTGGGGGAGGGAGTGAGAGGTGGAGGAGAGGGGAGGAGGGAGGAGAGGGAGGTGAGAGGTGGAGGAGAGGGAGGAGAGGTGGAGGAGAGGGAGGAGAGGTGGGGGAGAGGAGTGATAAGGTGCAAGAAACAAAGATCTATAGCACAAATATTTTCACATCTATCACCCACCATCTCCCCATCACCCACCATTTCCACCCCCATCACCCACCATCTCCCCATCACCACCATTTCCCATCACCCATCATCTCCCCATCACCCGCCATCCCATCACCCATCATTCCCCATCACCCACCATTTCCGTATCACCCACCATCTCCCCCATCACACCACTCCCCCATCACCACCATCTCCCCCCATCACCCACCATCTCCTCCCCCATCACCCACCATTCCATCACCCACCATCTCCCCATTACCATCGTCTCCCCATCAACACCATCTCACCCATCATTCCCCCATCACCCATCACCAATCATCTCATCACCCATCACCCATCATCTCTCATCACCCATCCATCACCCATCATCCCCATCACCCACCATTTCCCATCACCCACCATCTCATCAGATCAGTGATATACATTCAGTCACAGGATTGAATAATAATTTATCTCAAAACGACCTTTATCATGTCTAGTGAGTGTGTGTGTGTGTGTGTGTGTGTGTGTGTGTGTGTGTGTGTGTGTGTGTGTGTGTGCATGCGTGAGTGTATGTCTGTATGCACATGCATTTACTTCCGTATACCTGTATGCTTTTCTTTATGTTGGCACGTGCAAGTATGTTATAGAGTGTGTGTGTGTGTGTGTGTGTGTGTGTGTGAATGGAATCGTTCAGTAAGTATGCTTGTCTAGGGTGGCCAAGGTGTTGGTTGCAGAATGGTAGGGTGTGTATGGCAGGTGCAGGCAGGGGTGTGTGGTGGTGCAGGCAGGGGTGGTGGTGCAGCAGGCAGGGGTGTGTGGGGGGATGGGTGGTGGTAGAGGAGGAGGCTATGTAGTGGACGTGGTGTGTGTGTGTAGAGCGTGCAAGGTGAGAGAGGGACAGGAAACAGCAAGTGTGGACTGTGCAGATACTGACGGTGGCCGATGCACTGCTGCAGCTGGGCCAAGAGGAAGGGAGGAGGAGGAGGTGGACCCAGGTACTCGTCACCACGCCCCACACGTCTCCCACCCACCATCCCACCGAGGTCTGAGGGTCGGATAAGCCAGTTCAAGCATAACATGTTTCAGGGGGCGCCGCAACAGCCAGCATATGCATAACCTTCACTACTCTAGGGGGCAGGCGGAGGAGGAGGAAGAAGAGGAAGAGGAGATGGAAGAAGAGGAGATAAAGGAGGAGGAAGAGAAAGAAGAGGTGGATGAAGAAGAGGAGATAGAGGACGAGGAGAAAGAGGAAGACGAGGAGATAGAGTAAGAAGAGAAAGAAGAGGCGGAGGAGGAGGAGAAAGAAGAAAAAAGAAGGGGAGGTGGAGGAAAAACAAGAGGAAGAAAAACAAGATCCCCACCACTACAAATACAGTACAAACACACATAAGGCAGGTAGGACCGGGAGGCCAAACCAACATCTGATTATTATTAAGTACAATATAATACCATTAATGACCGGCGTTGCCCTTCCCGTGTGTGTGTGTGTGTGTGTGTGTGTGTGTGTGTGCGCGCCCATCAACACCTCCCACCCCCTATAATTGTTTTGTTCACACCTGCCCTTCCCCATTCCAGCAAGAAGACTGCTGCGTGCCGCGCCGCCCCTGCCCCACTGCCCTGCCCCGCCACCCCGACCCAACACCCATCATCCCCAGGTCACACTCCTGTGCTAGGAAACAGTAACGGCCTGTTCTGTGTGTGTGTGTGTGTGTGTGTGACAGCGTCCCTTAGCCCCCCAGTAACTCACATGTCACTCACTGTCTCAATATCACTGTCCCGTCACTCACAGCCTCATTCACCAATCACTCTTTCCTCTCTCGTCACTACTGCCTACAAGTTAAAAGGCTACCTGTTCCAACAATACAGAAAAACACACACAACACTCATTTTAATATATATATATATATATATATATATATATATATATATATATATATATATATATATATATATAACCACACACCCACCCACACATACATACAACACAAACTTCTCCCTACACGCACGCACAAACACACACACACACATCCATCCATCCACCCAACACACTCACATAATCATACACAAACAACCCCCCCCCACACACACAATACATCCTTTATCATGAACAAGTCCAGCACCAAGAAGTGCCTGCCCGCTCGTCGCCATCACCACATGTAAACAAACATCAGCTAATTATGGAGAGATGAGACACGGACCTAAAATAAATAAACAAATGCACTACCTTCACGCCCTCTGGTTAAATATATATATAAATAAATATAAGCTGTAAAAAACAAACAAACAAACACACAAAGTTATACATAATTTATAAAATACACAAAAAGCACACCTGAGTGAAGGTAAATAAGTCATTAGCATATATAAATATTACTCAGGTGTCTAAGACTAATAATATCAAAGGTATATTATCATTAGATACTAGAAACAATTATAACTTCAACAGATGGAAGCCCTAACAAGCTGACAAGAACAGAAAAATGTTTACTAATATTTCTAAACCAACACCAAAAGTAAAATAAGCCAATTAAAGCAAAAATTATATCAATACCAAGCAGTAAACTTAATTGTAATAGTAATTAGTAAAAAAAAAAATAACGTTGACATGCCATTTAACCTAAGAGAACTATTAGATAATGAACCAAGTCTCACCGATAACGTTCACTAACAAATAATATTTACTTTATATAATACGACTGGAATCACTGCATACAACACTTAAGATTTACCAAATTAAAATAAAAAATAAATTAAAAATATTAGTTTTGTTATTCACTCCAGTAATAATAATAATGGTAATAACAATAATAGTAGTAGTAGTAGTAGTAGTAGTAGTAGTAGTAGTAGTAGTAGTAGTAATAATAATAATAATAATAATAATGGTAATAATAATAATAATAATAATAATAATAATAATAATGGTAATAATAATAATAATAATAATAATAATAATAATAATAATAATAATAATAATAATAATAATAATAATAGTAGCAGTAGCAGTAGTAATAATAATAATAATAATAGTAATAATAATAATGATGATAATAATAATAATAATAATAATAATAATAATAATAATAACAGTAATAATAATAATAATAACTAATAATAATATAAAAATCATAAATAAAAGATAAAAATAATAATAATAAAAGTAACAAGATGGTGGTTGTTACAGGCAGCCAGAACAAAGTGGATGAAGAAAAAGGACGAGAATTAACAAAAGAAGGTGAACAGAGGAACAAGAAGACGAAACAAGAAATAACACACAAGAAAAAAAAATAAGTGGGAAAATAGTGAAGAAGAAAAAAACAGGTTAAAAACAACGGAAGCAAAATATGATAAATAATAATAATATAAAATTCAATTGGGGGGAAAAAGTATAGAATGAAAAATCAATAATAACAACAATAAAAGTAATAATAATATTAATAACAATAATAATAATAATAACAACAATAATAATAACACCAACACGCACACACATACCTATAATCACAAACACATTCTATAATTACTAAAACGATGATAACTAGACCATCAACAAGAAAATAAAGCATTAAATATAACAATAAAAATAATAACCAAGTCAATAACAACAGCAGCAGCAAACAGCCTTTTAAACAGGTATAGTAAGCAATTAACAGGTATCTCTCTAAAGCACTTAGGGAACAAACCTCATCCAATGAGCACTTAGCCTAACCTGGAGAGTCTGAAAGGAAGATAATCTGCCACACCTGATCATAATGTGAACAATGACACAGTAAGCTAATATATTAAGTAGACATGAACAAGTAGTTAACAAAACCAGGTTCCCCAGTAGCCTGTGAAGGGAGGAGAGAGAGAGAGAGAGAGGATGGGATAGGGAGGAAAAGAGGGAAGGGGTCACAAATGGAAACAAGGTCACTTAGCAATTTTGTGTCGTGTGTGGTTCCTTGTGTCGTGTGTGGTTCCTTGTGTCGTGTGTGGTTCCTTGTGTCGTGTGTGGTTCCTTGTGTCGTGTGTGGTTCCTTGTGTCGTGTGTGGCCTGCATGTGTGTGGCCTGTGTGCTGTGTGTGGGCTCTGTGTGTCGTGGCTCCGTGTGTCGTGTGTGGCCCTTGTGTCGTGTGTGGCCCTTGTGTCGTGTGTGTGGCCCAGTCGTGTGTGGCCTGTGTCGTGTGTGGCCCGTGTGTCGTGGTTCCGTGTGTCGTGTGTGGCCTCAGGTGTGTGTGGCCCTGTGTGTCGTGTGGTTCCTGTGTCGTGTGTCCTGTGTGTGGCCCTTGTGTCGTGTGTCCTTGTGTCGTGTGTGGCCTCTGTGTCGTGTGGCCTCAGGTCGTGTGGCTCCGTGTGTCGTGTGTGGCCCTGTGTCGTGTGGCCCTTGTGTCGTGTGTGGCTCCTTGTGTCGTGTGTGTGGCTCCTTGTGTCGTGTGTGGCCTCTGGTGTGTGTGGCTCCGTGTGTCGTGTGGTTCCGTGTGTCGTGTGTGGTTCCGTGTGTCGTGTGTGGCTCCTTGTGTCGTGGCTCCGTGTGTCGTGTGGCCTGTGTGTCGTGTGTGGCTCCTGTGTGTCGTGTGGCCTTCCTTGTGTCGGTGTGTGGTTCCGTTCGTGTGGCTCTGTGTCGTGTGGCTCCTTGTGTCGTGTGTGGTTCCTTGTGTCGTGTGTGGTTCCGTGTGTGCCCTTGTGTCGGTGTGTTGTTCCTTGTGTCGTGTGGTTCCTTGTGTCGTGTGTCGATCCTTGTGTCGTGTGTCGATCCTTGTGTCGTGGTTCCGTGTGTCGTGTGTGGTTCCCTTGTGTCGCGTGTTGATCCTTGTGTCGTGTGTGGTTCCTTGTGTCGTGTGTGGTTCCTTGTGTCGTGTGGTTCCTTGTGTCGTGTCGATCCTTGTGTCGGGTTCCTGTGTCGTGTGGTTCCTTGTGTCGTGTGTGGTTCCTTGTGTCGTGGTTCCTTGTGTCGTGTGTGGTTCCTGTGCGTGGTTCCTTGTCGTGTGGTTGATCCTTGTGTCGTGTGTGATCCTTGTGTCGTGTGTGGTTCCTGTGTCGTGTGTGGTTCCTGTGTCGTGTGTCGATCCTGTGTCGTGTGTCGTTCCTGTGTCGTGTCGTTCCTTGTGTCGTGTGTCGATCCTTGTGTCGTGTCGATCCTTGTGTCGTGTGTCGATCCTGTGTCGTGTGGTTCCTGTGTCGTGTGTGGTTCCTTGTGTCGTGTGTGGTTCCTTGTGTCGTGTGTGGATCCTGTGTCGTGTGTTGATCCTGTGTCGTGTGTTGTCCTTGTGTCGTGTTGATCCTGTGTCGTGTGTTGTTCCTTGTGTCGTGTGTTGATCCTGTGTCGTGTGTTGATCCTGTGTCGTGTGTTGTTCCTTGTGTCGTGTGTTGTTCCTTGTGTCGTGTGTTGCCTTGTGTCGTGTGTTGTTCTTGTGTCGTGTGTTGATCCCTGTGTCGGTGTGTTGATCCTTGTGTCGTGTGTTGTTCCTTGTGTCGTGTGTTGTTCCTTGTGTCGTGTGTTGTTCCTTGTGTCGTGTGTTGTTCCTTGTGTCGTGTTGTTCCTTGTGTCGTGTGTGTGGTTCCTGTGTCGTGTGTGGTTCCTTGTGTCGTGTGTGGTTCCTTGTGTCGTGTGTTGATCCTTGTGTCGTTCGTTCCTGTGTCGTGTGTTGTTCCTTGTGTCGTGTGGTTCCTTGTGTCGTGTGTGGTTCCTTGTGTCGTGTGTTGCCTTGTGTCGTGTGTTGTTCCTTGTGTCGTGTGTTGTTCCTTGTCGTGTGTTGTTCCTTGTGTCGTGTGTTGTTCCTTGTGTCGTGTGTTGTTCCTTGTGTCGTGTGTTGTTCCTTGTGTCGTGTGTGGTTCCTTGTGTCGTGTGTGGTTCCTTGTGTCGTGTGTGATCCTTGTGTCGTGTGTTGATCCTGTGTCGTGTTGATCCTGTGTCGTGTTGTTACTTGTGTCGTGTGTGGTTCCTTGTGTCGTGTGTGGTTCCTTGTGTCGTGTGGTTCCTTGTGTCGTGTGTTGATCCTTGTGTCGTGTGTCGCCTTGTGTCGTGTGTGGTTCCATGTGTCGTGTGGTTCCATGTGTGGTTCCATGTGTCGTGTGTGGTTCCATGTGTGGTTCCATGTGTCGTGTGTGTGGTTCCATGTGTCGTGTGTGGTTCCATGTGTTGTTCCTTGTGTCGTGTGTGGTTCCATGTGTGGTTCCTTGGTCGTGTGTGGCTCCGTGTGTGGTTCTGTACTGGTGAGATGGAGGGAAGGGTAGAAGGTGGAGAGCATCAAGAGACGGAAGGAAAATTAAGAGTGAGCCGTTTTACGACACCCTGAGGAGGGGCAGCAGGAGACCAGCCCGGAGAGAGAGAGAGAGAGAGAGAGAGAGAGAGAGAGAGAGAGAGAGAGAGAGACAGAGAGAGAGAGAGAGAGACAGAGACAGAGACAGAGACAGAGACAGAGACAGAGACAGAGACAGAGACAGAGACAGAGACAGACAGAGAGAGAGAGAGAGAGAGAGAGAGAGAGAGAGAGAGAGAGAGAGAGAGAGAGAGAGAGAGAGAGAGAGAGAGAGAGACAGAGACAGAGAGAGAGAGAGAGACAGAGACAGAGAGAGAGAGAGAGAGAGAGAGAGAGAGAGAGAGAGAGATATATATATATATCCCTTTAACACGTAGATGTCACAGGTGCAGCAGTGGGTGCATCACACGTGAACGAAAACATGGAGAGAGAGGAAGAGACAGGTGGGGATCTGTCCTTCCTGACGGTGGACTGAAGGAACCAGGAGGCTGACGGAGGAGGAGGGAGGGGGGGTGTTTACTAGAGGGCAGAGAGAGATCATCCACAACAACCCGCTACCACGCCCACAACACGCCCACACCATCACCAAGAGCCAACACATTGGATACTTACTGCTTGACGGAGCTACCTGGTGGTGGAGACTGTGTGTGTGTGTGGGTGTGGGGTAGCGGGTGTTGTAGGCCAAGGGCGATTACACAAATAGTAGTAGTAGTAGTAGTAGTAGTAGTAGTACAGGCAGCCCGCGTACCGTCAACGTCACGCCATCCACTTATTTATTAAATGCTTTTTTGAGGGGCAGCTAACTGAGGTGGGTCTCAAATTTGAGAGGTGGCAAAAAAGGAGAGAGAAAGATAGAGAGGGGGGAGAGAAAGATAGAGAGAGAGAAAAGAATGGGCAAGGGAGGGTAAGGGCGAGGCAGGGTTGGCGTGAGGCAGCGGCGCGGGCTGAGGGGAGGGGCGGCAGGTGAGCATGCAGTGTTACTTACGTCCGGTGAAGGCAACAAGAGTGGGGTGGGGAGCGGCCGCGGGGGGAGACTGCTGCTTGGGCTTGCTAACTTTGGTGTTACTTTTAGCAAACTCGAGTCGGATGGTCTGCGGCATGTCCGGGTCAAACCGCACGCCTTGCTGCAAGAGACCCGGAGACCGTGCCAGTTAACACAAGGTGGCGTGGTGGAGGTGGTGGAAGAGTGGTGGAAGAGTGGTGGACAGGTGTTGGTTGGTTGAGTGGTGTCGATGGTGGTGGAAAGGTGTCGATGGTGGTTGACAAGTGTCGATGGTGGTTGATGGTATGGAAGGTGCTTGACAAGTATGGATGGTGGTTGACGAGTGTGGATGGTGATCGACAGGTGTGGATGGTGGTTGACAAGTGTGGATGGTGGTTGACAGGTATGGATGGTGGTTGATAAGTATGGATGGTGGTTGACAGGTATGGATGGTGGTTGATAAGTATGGATGGTGGTTGACAAGTATGGATGGTGGTTGACAGATGGGATGGTGGTTGACAAGTATGGATGGTGGTTGACAGATGTGGATGGTGGTTGGGATGGCGATGGTGGGATAAGTATGGATGGTTGACGAGTATGGATGGTGGTTGACAGATGTGGATGGTGGTGATGTGGATGCTGGTTGACAGATGTGGATGCTGGTTGACAGGTATGGATGGTGGTTGACAGATGTAGAAAGTACTAATGACAGGTGTGTGGAATGATGATAATGAGAGGCGTGGAGAGGTGAAGGAGAGGCGTGGAGAGGTGAAGGAGAGGCGGAGAGGTGAAGGAGAGGCGTGGGAGAGGAAGGAGAGGCGGGAGAGGTGAAGGAGAGGCGGGAGAGGTGAAGGAGAGGCGGAGAGAGGTGAAGGAGAGGCGTGGGAGAGGAAGGAGAGGGGAGAGGTGAAGGAGGTGTGGGAGAGGTGAAGGAGTTGGTGTGGGAGAGGTGAAGGAGTGCGTGGAGAGGTGAAGGGAGAGGCGTGGGAGAGGCGTGGAGAGGTGAGGGAGAGGGGAGAGGTGAAGGAGAGGCGTGGGAGAGGTGAAGGAGAGGCGTGGGGAGAGGTGAAGGAGAGGCGTGGGAGAGGTGAAGGAGGAGGCGGGGAGAGTGAAGGAGAGGCGTGGAGAGGTGGAAGGAGAGGCGTGGGAGAGGTGGAAGGAGAGGCGTGGGAGAGGGGTGGAAGGAGAGGCGGAGAGGTGAAGGAGAGGGCGTGGGAGAGGTGGGGAGAGGTAGGGAGAGTGGAGAGGCGTGGAGAGGGCAGGGAGAGGCGAGGGAGAGGCGAGGGAGGAGGCGTGGAGAGGTGAAGGAGAGGCGTGGAGAGGTGAAGGAGAGGCGGGAGAGGTGAAGGAGAGGCGTGGGAGAGGTGAAGGGAGCGTGGGAGAGGTGAAGGAGAGGCGTGGGAGAGGTGAAGGAGAGTGGAGAGGTGAAGGAGAGGCGGGGAGAGGAAGGAGAGGCGTGGGAGAGGTGAAGGAGGAGGCGTGGGAGAGGGGTGAAGGAGAGGCGTGGAGAGGTGAAGGAGAGGCGTGGAGAGGTGAAGAGAGGCGTGGGGAGAGGTGAAGGAGAGGCGTGGGAGAGGTGAAGGAGAGGCGTGGGAGAGGTGAAGGAGAGAGGGCGTGGAGAGGTGAGGAGAGGCGGGAGAGGTGAAGGAGAGGCGGGAGAGGTGAAGGAGAGGCGAGGTGAAGGAGAGGCGTGGGAGAGGGTGAAGGAGAGGCGGGAGAGGGGGAAGAGAGGCGTGGGAGAGGTGAAGGAGTGGCGTGGAGAGGGTGAAGGAGAGGCGGGAGAGGTGGAAGGAGAGGCGTGGGAGAGGAAGGAGAAGGTGGGCGAGGTGAAGGAGAGGCGTGGAGAGGTGAAGAGAGGCGGGAGAGGTGAAGGAGAGGCGTGGGAGAGGTGAAGGAGAGGCGTGGGAGAGGTGAAGGAGAGGCGGGAGAGGTGGAAGGAGAGGCGTGGAGAGGTGAAGGAGAGGCGTGGAGAGGTGAAGGAGAGGCGTGGAGAGGTGAAGGAGAGGCGTGGGAGAGGAAGGAGAGGCGGGAGAGGTGAAGGAGCTGGTGTGGGAGAGGTGAAGGAGTTGCGTGGGAGAGAGGGAGAGGCGTGGGAGAGGCGTGGGAGAGGTGAGGGAGAGGCGTGGGAGAGGTGAAGGAGAGGCGTGGAGAGGTGAAGGAGAGGCGTGGGAGAGGTGAAGGAGAGGCGTGAGAGGTGAAGGAGTGGCGTGGGAGAGGTGAAGGAGAGGTGGGCGAGGTGAAGGAGAGGCGTGGGGAGAGGGGAAGGAGAGGCGTGGGAGAGGTGAAGGAGAGGCGTGGGAGAGGTGATGGAGAGGAGGAGAGGTGAAGGAGTTGGTGGAGCAGGTGAAGGAGAGGCGTGGAGAGGTGAAGGAGGAGGCGTGGAGAGTGAAGAGAGGCGTGGGAGAGGTGAAGGAGAGGTGGGAGAGGTGAAGGAGTTGGTGTGGGAGAGTAGGGAGAGGTGGAGAGGCGTGGAGAGGCGTGGGAGAGGTGAAGGAGAGGCGTGAGAGGGGAAGGAGAGGCGTGGGAGAGGGGTGAAGGAGAGGCGTGGAGAGGGGTGAAGGAGAGGCGTGGGAGAGGTGGGAGGGAGGCGTGGAGAGGTGAAGGAGAGGCGGGAGAGGTGGAAGAGAGGCGTGGGAGAGGTGAAGGAGAGGCGGGGAGAGGAAGGAGTTGGTGGGAGAGGTGAGGGAGAGTGGGAGAGGCGTGGGAGAGGTGAGGAGAGGCGTGGATAGGTGATGGCGAGGCGTAAGGTGGGGAACAGGCGAGGAATTCTGTGAAAGTGGTATTGGGAGAGAGAGAGAGTTGGATGGATGTATGGAAGGAATATGATGAAAGAGAGGAGGAGAAGGATGGGGTAGGAGAAGGATAGTGGTGGTGGTGAGGGGTAGAGAAATATCAAGGGTAAACAACAGTTGGTGCGCCTGTTGCAGCAAGAATGTACCCAGAAGGGAGGCTGTAGCATCCTACCGAGAGACCTGCACGGACTGCGGCAAAAAGCTGGGCTGAGGCCAGAGAGAGAGGGGCGGGAGGTCATGCTCGGCACGTGAAGGGGGGCGGGCACAGCTCCAGTGCCACACTAGTACACGGCGTCGGTACTGGGCCGTGGGTGCTGATAAGGGGATGAGAAGACTAGGGTTTGTGACTCAACTAACACTATTTGGTGACTAACAGCTAGAGAGAGTAGATGAGGAGGGGAGGGGTTAAAGGGGGAAGGGAGGCTCGCGACGATGGTGTGGAGCAACATGTGGCCGTGCAGCTCTCTGTGGTGGGCCCGGCTCCTCCCACAGGTATACAGTACCCGTGGTCTTCATCACAACATCCCGTCTCCTCCACCACACCACACACACTATCTCACCCACCACCAGGTGTGTGAAGGTGTGGTGGAGGGGGCTGGAGAAGGGTGCCACCATTCTTGTGTATCAGTACCTGGCACCCACACACAATGTCAGTGCATCTCCCATAATGCCCACCACCTCCTTTATTAAGCACAACCCAACACTGTGGCACACCTTAGTCAAGCACTTAATATTACACCTGGCTAATGAATAACCTACACACCACAGGGAGACATACACAACTCTCACTTTAAACTAAACGTCAGCAGAGAACTTGCTATTAGAACAAATATAGTACACCTGCGGGTGGCCACAATATACAGTACACCCCAAGTTTGGTCATAACGACAGGTGAGTGAGGCAGGTGAAGGCACCAGCAGGTAGATGAGAGCCACAGTCAATGCAACTCTCCACTACGCCAGTGCCACACCCCGACGCCCACCAGTCCTACAGGAACAGCCGCACCAATAAAATGGCTTAATGCTCACAGGAGACCACCTTAACCGCAATCTATCCCATCCGGGTCCTCCCTAACCACACTTACCGAGCAGGTGAGTGTGGGGTAAGAGTGAGTGGTGGTGGCAGGGAGCCATAACCCAGAGGGATGGTAGTGCCGGCCAGCCTCACTCTCTCCCACCACACACACACACACACACACACACACACACACACACACACACACACACACACACACACACACACACACACACACTCTCACCTCTCCTCACTATCAGGACAAGTTAGTGAGTGTGTCAGTACTGGTGACACACGGACTCCTGCCCCACCCCCCTGGCATAACGACCTGTGTGCCGCCCAAGACGTCACTCCGCACTAAACCTTGACCCATCACTCCTATAGCGGACCTCACACGTGGTGGTAGACTCCGTACCCATACAACCCCTTCAGGAGCTACCTACAACAGCCACCAACACAATACACACCAGGACTCCTACAAACACACACACACACACACACCTCCTCTACCATCTACCTAGAGCGCCAAACCTTCCCTTAAAATTACCTCAGCTAAAACACATCACCAAAAATATTAGACAAAGTTAAACCTGGATAATAACCGATTAGAACACAAGCTATATAGAGCTGAGGTCATGACAAGAGGCTGACCTGACCTGACCACACCAGTCTGAGGTTACCAGCTGTACCTGAGTGTCCCGGGAAAGGCGTGACGGTGGGAACAAAATGTGGGCGTGGGGGCGTGGCGACTTACCTGCAGGTCCTGCTTGGCCGCCTCAGCACCAGCCTGCGTGCTGAAGGTCACGAACCCCACCGGCTGTAACACACACAACACAGGCGTTATAACACTGTAGTATTGTAACACGACCAGCTGTAACCACACACTGTACCAGCTGTAACACTACATACCAAACCTAAATACATTAAAGACAAAGGAATAATCCCCCTCACACTACCTCACTTATGTACCCCCAACCTTCCTAATACTGGAATAAATGTTACCTAATTAACTCCACCAAAACAAAATTACCTGAAATAAATCAAAACAGAAGTTAAATATATATATACAGTACAATAAAATGACACACACGAACACTACATGAAGGAGAGTTATTCTTACACACACACACACACACACACACACACACACACACACACACACACACACACACACACACTCTTCCTCAGCTGGGTGGACTCGAGTCTTTGACGTGAACTATTGGGGACTCCTATTTTAAGTACAGAAGGCGAGTCATGTTCTCCACTCAGCCACCGCACAGTATTAATAGTCCAACCATTCATCATCACGTGTACCAGTCCCTGCGTCACCTACTTGTCAATATAATGATTTTTCACAACACCTCACACCTGCAGTACCGTCGTTCACGTGTTACACCACCTGACGTAAGTATGTAATTAGCATGTGGTGGTAGTGATGATACACCCCTCCCTCCTCCCTCCTCCCTCTGTTGAACCCCCGTCACGTTGAACCCCTGTCACATGTTGAACCCCGTCACGTGTCTAGTTAAGGTCAAGTTTAAGGGTTAATTCTGATAATGTATGTACACCTGTTGTCTTGTAAGTGACACCCAAACGTCCATCACTTACGAGGAACTATGTATCATATGAACTTTTTTGTGAACCCGGAGGCTGGCTGGACAGGGGTTCGGTTCGGTATCTATCCTTGGCCATTCATCCATCTTTTAATCCTGAGGAGAGGTCGGTTAGCTCGCGGATTCACTGACACAGTTATACCAACACATCACATCGTGTCTGAACCTTTGTGAATCCGGCAACTGAACCTTTGTGAATCCGGCAACTGAACCTTTGTGAATCCGGCAACTGAACCTTTGTGAATCCGGCAACTGAACCTTTGTGAATCCGGCAACTGAACCTTTGTGAATCCGGCAACTGAACCTTTTTGAGTCCAGGCCCTGAAGCTCTATGAATCCGAAGCCACGAGGAAAAAGACGTATTGGTGAGGCAGACAGCGTGAAGGACTTGGCTCCATGTACCTACCACTACCACCTACCTTTACTCCCACCATCCATCACTACTACCAACCACCACCTAACAACACCAACCACCACCACCACTACTACCACCTTCACCACTACCAACCACCACCTACCACTACTACCACCTTCACCACTACCAACCACCACCTACCACTACTACCACTTTCACCACACTACCAACCACCACCTACCACTACTACCACCTTCACCACTACCACCACCCACCACCACTACCACCTCACCACCAACCACTACTACCACCTTCACCACTACCAACCACCACTACCACCTACCACTACTACCACCTTCACCACTACCAACCACCACCTACCACTACTACCACCTTCACCACTACCAACCACCACCTACCACTACTACCACCTTCACCACTACCAACCACCACCTACCACTACTACCACCTCACCACTACCAACCACCACCTACCACTACTACCACCTCACCACTCACCTTCATCACTACCAACCACCACCTACCACTACTACCACCTTCATCACTACCAACCACCACCTACCACTACTACCACCTTCACCACTACCAACCACCACCTACCACTACACCTTCACCACTACCAGCCACCACCCACCACTACTACCACCTTCACCACTACCAACCACCACCTACCACTACTACCACCTTCACCACTACCAACCACCACCTACCACCCCATGCTTCTTGTTTTCCTTCTCAGTGATCAATAGTGTGGCGGGCACCAGGCCTCGAGGAGGGTCCTGTTGGTAAGGTGGGCGGTGGGCTGACCGGGCTAACTCATGAATGTGCCCCCCCTCCTCCTGAAGGTGGGTTCCATTTCCTGACGGTGGGGTCCCCCTCCTGAGGGTGGGGTCCCCGGCTGCCAACAGTGGGCCGTCCAACACCCCGCCACAAGGCCCACACTCAACACCACCACAGAGGGGAAAAACCAGGTGTTCCCTCCGTCCTCCCCTCAACCCCAGCCCAGGTAACGGCCTACCTGCACGCGATGCTCACCCACCACCACACTCCCTCCTTCCCTCACCACCACACCTCACTCCTTCCCTCACCACCACACTCACTCCTTCACCACCACCTCACCACTCACTCCCTCCTCCCTCCTCCTCCTTCACCACACACTCCCTCCCTCCTTCACCACCACCTCCCTCCTTCCCTCACCACCACACTCACTCCTTCCCTCACCACCACCCTCTTCCCTCCCACCCCTCCTTCCCTCACCACCACACTCTCCTCCCTCACCACCAACATACACTATTTAGAGATAAAGTGACAGAGGAAAGCCGTGTCCTGGCCCTCCACGTCACCAGCCTCACCACATCAACCCTCACCACGTCACCAGCCCTCACCACGTCACCAGCCCTCACCACGTCACCAGCCCTCACCACGTCACCACTCACCACGTCACCAGCCCTCACCACGTCACCAGCCCTCACCACGTCACCAGCCCTCACCACGTCACCAGCCCTCACCACGTCACCAGCCTCACCACGTCACCAGGGGAGATGGGGAGGAGGGATGGAGGGTGGGAGATGGATGGGGAGGGGAGGAGTAAGACAGCCAGGGTATATCATAAGCGTGAAGAAGAGACGTGAAGAAAACCCGATAGGTGCGGAGGAGATCAGGGGTGGCGGACGGAGGACGGAAGACGGAAGTAGGTGGGACGTACGGGAGGAGACGGTGGTGGGACGGGGACGGGATGGGGGGGAGGCAGGACGGGAGGAAACGGGAGGGAGGAGGCAGGACGGAGGAAACAGACGGAGGAAACGGGATGGGTCTGAGAGATGACAGGGAGATTAAGATGAACACTAAACGACAATCAAGTTATTACGAGAGAGAGAGAGAGAGAGAGAGAGAGAGAGAGAGAGAGAGAGGTTTGTGTGTAAGACAGAAAGAAGGAAGGAAGGAAGGAAGGAAGGAAGGAAGGAGAAGAGAGAAAACACCACCAATTCCAATAAGTCATCTCATTATAATTGCAGGTGAGGGAGGGAGAGGAGGGAAAAGAGGGAGAGAGGGAGGGAGAAGTAGGGGGAGGAGGAGGAAGAGGAAGGAGAAAGAAAACGATTAAATTGGAGGAGGGAAGAAGAGGATGATGTTGAAAGGAAGAGAAGGAAAATAGAGGAAAGACGAGGGTGGTAAGATGAAGAAATGAGGAGAAGGAAGAGGAAAGGAAGGAGGAGGAGGAGGAGAGGAAGAGAGGAGAAGAGGAGTATCGTGTCTCAGTGTGCCATAATTAACAGCTAGGATCGTGTTCAAGTGGCGACACACACAACACACCCCCACCTTACACCATACAGGTGGTGACAAGGGTATGAATAATACACGGGGGCAGGGGTGGTGGTGGTGGAGAGGGTAGGTACAGGCTGCTTTTGAGGCCAATGTTACACTCTGGCACTACGGTACACCTGGCACTACGGTACACCTGGCACTACGGTACACTCTGGCACTACGGTACACTCTGGCACTACGGTACACTCTGGCACTACGGTACACTCTGGCACTACGGTACACTCTGGCACTGTGGTATTATCCCTATTCTCTCCACAATAAAGCACAACAAGTCGATAATTATGACAAAACAACATTATGAGTCAATACGATCGATGTACCCCAAGAAACAAAAGACTAAGGGAGCCAATACCCCGAGTTGATTAAAAATGTACTATAGTGTGTACCCAAGAACCAGTCAACCAGTTATCCACCCAGTCATTGTCAACCAGTTATCCACCCAGTCATTGTCAACCAGTTATCCACCCAGTCATTGTCAACCAGTTATCCACCCAGTCATTGTCAACCAGTTATCCACCCAGTCATTGTCAACCAGTTATCCACCAGTCATTGTCAACCAGTTATCCACCCAGTCATTGTCAACCAGTTATCCACCCAGTCATTGTCAACCAGTTATCCACCCAGTCATTGTCAACCAGTCATTGTCAACCAGTTATCCAACCAAGAACCAGTCAACCAGTTATCCACCCAGTCATTGTCAACCAGTTATCCACCCAGTCATTGTCAACCAGTTATCCACCCAGTCATTGTCAACCAGTTATCCACCCAGTCATTGTCAACCAGTTACAACCAAAGATCAATCACGAGTCAAAAGGAACCAACAGTGAACTAGGACCAACTGCGATGAATCAAACCCCCCAACCAAATACGAACCGGTTACATCCACACCTTGTACCAGTTTAAGCTACAGTGAACCAGTTAAAATAGTTGTTGGACAGTCAAAACGAGCAGTGAATCAGTCTGAGCTAACGGTGAACCAGTCTGGGCTAACAGTGAACCAGTCTGGGCTAACAGTGAACCAGTCTGAGCTAACAGTGGACCAGTTTCAATCAATAGCAGACAAAACCTCACGACTCAAAATTACAGGTGATATGACACGATTCCTGGCCAGGTGACCTACTTGACCTCTGACCTCTATCGTCCTCCTACAAAATGTAACGGGACATTCCTAGACCAACCTAAGCCCGGCCCACCACACCGGCCCACCACACCCGGCCCACCACACCCCACCACCACACCCGCCCACCCCCCGCCCATCACCACACCGCCCAACCCAGCCCATATCACTGTTTGTTGAGATGGGGTTGTCTTGTTCACTCTCTCACACACACATATGTCTGTCTGTCTGTCTGTCTGTCTGTCTCATAACTGTTTCTTATTTGTCTGTCTCACGCAAACACAAATATTTTAAAACATACAGAGAGAGAGAGAGAGAGAGAGAGAGAGAGAGAGAGAGAGAGAGAGAGAACAGCTGACAGTTTCACAGGCTTCAGATCACACACACACACACACACACACACACACACATATGTACTTACTGATGCGGTCTTGCCATTCTTGCTGGTCACCTTCAGTAGCGACCCCTCATAGCCCTGGGGAGAGAGAAGGGTAAATTAATGTACATATACATACATACATACATACATACATACAGTACACAAGTCGAACTATGTATGTATGTATGTATGTACAGATGGGATGAACAGGTATGTATACATTATAAACACTCAAACAACAATATATTGATAGCCTCTTGGTATTTATTTACTAGTATTTAATATGAATGTAATGTAGTTTTGAATAATAAAAAAATAATAATAATAATAATAATAATAATAATAATGATAATAATAATAATAATAATAATAATAGTAATAATAAAAATAATAAAAACAATAACAATAATAACAATAATAATAATAACTACAATAACAATAAAAATATTTAATAAAAAATGAGAACAATAATAATAACAAAAATAAGTTACTTTCACAACAAATAACTCACTGTTTATCAGACCACTTTTCGCTTTTAGCTCAATTACTAAAAATTACAGAACAGAGGAGGTAATTTTCGGGAAACAAATTAAGAAATATTTTACCCAGGACGAACACACACACACACGGCCATTAATGTTGGCGGTCACAGTAGGTACCAAGGATTAATAACTCTCTCTCTCTCTCTCTCTCTCTCAGGTAATTGGGGCTGAACTAATACAGGTGTTGAGAGAGAGAGAGAGAGAGAGAGAGAGAGAGAGAGAGAGAGAGACGCCCTCACGTATTTGCTTTCCTCCTTTATCACACTTTCTTCTTTATTAACGTATTTCTTTTCCTGGTAATACAACCCTCTCCCCACAGCCTGCGTCGTAATATCTCTAAGCGAAGCTCCCCCCCTCATCCCCCCCAGCAGGTATAAAGACTCGTATGAATATAATAAAGAGGAGGGAGGGAGGGGAAGGAGGAGGGGGGAGGGAAGAGGGGAGGGAGAGGCTGTTCCTGGGGAGGGGGGAAGTGAGCTGGGTGAGGAGGATGGGGCTGGTTCCTAGAGAGGTGAGGGAGGGAGGGGGGCAGCGTCGACGCCTCAATGAACCATCTACACCCAAGGACTGATAGCGGCCAACTTCCGGATCTGCCATCACTTTAATCTAGATATAAACTCTAATCAATCAACCAATCAATGAACAAGTAAGTTTTTCTTTTTTATAAGACGACACCTTAATGTTCGAGTTTATTAATTTATTGATCTATTATAATGTTTCGTCGATGAAATAAAAAAGGGTGTACAGTTGTGGCCCATAATGCCCTGGACACAAGGAGAGAGAGAGAGAGAGAGAGAGAGAGAGAGAGAGAGCAAAATAATCATCTCCTCTCTCTCACTCACCAAGACACAAAACCTGACCTCACCTTATTGCCACACACACACACACACACACACACACACACACACACACCATAAATAAACTCCGCCCTTGCAGTTCGCGCGGCCAAAAACCTCTCAAGGAACCACTTCTGGGTAAGCTATGGCTGCCGGGGTCATTTACACCAAAGGTTTTTCCAGCCATGAATAATCCTCAGTAGTGAAGATGGAAGAATTAACCTAACCTAACCTAACCAAACCTGAGCTGAGCTAACCTAACCTAACCAGACCTAACCTAACCTAACCCACCTCGCCTGACTCGGAGAATTGGGGGCGGGGGAAGGGCGGTAATGATGCTTGGTCAGGTGGGCGTGGAAGTGTGTCAGATAATAGTCAACAGAAGAACGCTAGCCGACGATGTTATGGTGGGTACGGACCAATCAGCAAACGACGTTAACGTGAGTACGGACCAACATCAACGACGTTAAGGTGAGTACGGACCAATCAACAACGACGTTAAGGTGGTACGACCAATCAGCAACGACGTTAAGGTGAGTACGGACCAATCAACGACGTTAAGGTGAGTACGGACCAATCAGCAAAGACGCTAAGGTGAGTACGGACCAATCAACAACGACGCAAGGTGAGTACGGACCAATCAGCAACGACGTTAAGGTGGGTACGGACCAATCAACAACGACGTTAAGGTGGGTACGGACCAATCAGCAACGACGTTAAGGTGAGTACGGACCAATCAGCACGCAATATACCCGGAAAAGTGTGTTTTGCTACAGGTTTTGACTGGATCCATCTATACACACACACCTGAACGACTGTCTGTCACTATCTCAATGGTGACAGGCGTTGAGATCATTATTCTTCATTTCTCATCCCCACTGTCACTGGGGTTTACGAGATGGAAGTGTAGTTTATAGTGCATTGTGTATAGTGAAGTGTAGTGTATAGTGTGGTGCATGGTGTAGTGTAGTGTATATTGTGTAGTGTATTAGTGTGTAGTTGTAGTATAGTGTATAATATGTAGTTGTAGTGTAATGTCGTGAAGTGTAGTGTCGTGTAATGTATAGTGACTTACATAACTTACTAAAACCATCAGTATTCCCTCGTGTGTTTAGGCCCAATTTAGACTACATGACTCACTATGGCTGATGGCGTTTAACACATTCAACATCAAAAAAAAAAAATGTAACTTTAATGTGTTGTTATTATACATGATAGTGTTGAGGGAGAGTTATATACCATTATTATTATTATACAGTGGGCCATTCCTCTCCTCTTCCTTCATTGTATAAATTCATTCTCGCTTTGTTTTTGTATTATCATGATGTTATTGTATTATGTGTATTACCACCACTACCACCGCCAGCACTACCTCCGCCACTACCACTACACACCACCCACCGCCAGCACTACCGCCACCACTACCACCACCACCTCCGCCACTACCACCACCACCACCACCGCCAGCACTACCACCACCGCCACCACTACCCGGCAAACACCACCAACAACACCACCACCACTACCACCGCCAGCACTACCACCACCACTCCACCACCACCACACCACTACTACCACCACCACCTCCGCCACTACCACTACCACCACTACCACCGCCAGCACTACCCGCCACTACCACCACCTACCTCCTCACCACCACCAGCACTACCTCCGCCACTCACCAGCACTACCTCCGCCACCACCACCACCGCCACTACCACCACCACCACCGCCAGCACCACACCGCCAGCACTACCACCACCACCACTGCCACCACCACCACCACCAGCACTATCTCCGCCACTACCACCACCTCACCTCCGCCACTACCACCACCACCTGCCACTACCATCACCACCACCTCACCACCACCTCCGCCACTACCCACCACCACACCACTACCACCACCCTCCGCCACTACCACCACCACCTCCGCCACTACCACTACCACCACCACCACCCCACTACCACCGCCAGCACTACCCGCCACTCACCACCACACCACTACCTCCGCCAGCACTACCCGCCACTACCACTACCACCACCACCGCCGCCAGCACCACCCACCACTACCACCCACCACCTCCGCCACTACCACACCACCACCGCCAGCACTACCTCCGCCACTACCACTACCACCACTACCTCCGCCAGCACTACCTCCACCACTCCCACCACCACCTCCGCCACTACCACTACCACCACTACCTCCGCCAGCACTACCTCCGCCACTACCACCACTACCACCGCCAGCACCACCACCACTACCACCACCACCACCTCCGCCACTACCACTACCACCACTACCACCGCCAGCACTACCTCGCCACTACCACTACCACCACTACCACCGCCAGCACTACCTCCGCCACTACCACTACCACCACTACCTCCGCCAGCACTACCTCCGCCACTACCACCACTACCACCGCCAGCACTACCTCCACCCACCACCACCACCACCACCACTTCCACCACCACCACCACTCACACCCGCCACTCACCACCAACCACCACCACCACCACCAATACCACCACCACCACCACTACCACCACCACCTCCGCCACTACCACTCACCACCACCACCACCACTACCTCCGCCACCACCACCACCAATACCACCACCACCACCACACGCTGTGTATATTTTCCAGTGTAATAAATAGCAGCAGCAAGTAGTAATATTCCAAGGGAAGTAGGGGCGGCGCCATTCTCGCCCCAAACTGCCTCGCCAGGTGTACCTTCCCACGCCCACCGCCTGCCTGCCTGCTGCCCACCCACCACCTGCCCCACCCCACCACCGCCTGCCTACCTGCTGCCCCACCCCACCCACCATCTGCCTGCTGCCCCACCCCACCACCGCCTGCCTACCTGCGCCCCACCCCACCCACCTGCTGCCCCACCCCACCACCGCCTGCCTACCTGCTGCCCCACCCCACCCACCACCGCCTGCCTACCTGCTGCCCCACCCCACCCACCACCGCCTGCCTACCTGCCGCCCCACCCACCCACCACCTGCCTGCTGCCCCACCCCACCCCCCACCACCTGCCTGCTGCCCCACCCCACCCATCACCACCTACCTGCTGCCCAACCCCACCCATCACCACCTGCCTGCCCCCACCCCACCCATCACCACCTACCTGCTGCCCCACCCCACCACCACCTGCCTGCTGCCCCACCCCACCCACCACCTGCCTGCTGCCCCACCCCACCCACCACCTGCCTGCTGCCCCACCCCACCCACCACCTGCCTGCTGCCCCACCCCACCCACCACCACCTGCCTGCTGCCCCACCCCACCCACAACCACCTGCCTGCTGCCCCACCCCTCACCCATCACCACCTGCCTGCTGCCCCACCCCACCCATCACCACCTACCTGCTGCCCCACCCCCACCCATCACCACCTGCCTGCTGCCCCACCCACCCATCACCACCTGCCTGCTGCCCCACCCCACCCATCACCACCTGCCTGCTGCCCCACCCCACCACCACCTGCCTGCTGCCCCACCCCACCCACCACCTGCCTGCTGCCCCACCCCACCACCACCTACCTGCTGCCCCACCCCACCCACCCACCTGCCTGCTGCCCCACCCCACCCATCACCACCTGCCTGCTGCCCCACCCACCCCACCACCTGCCTGCTGCCCCACCCCACCACCACCTGCCTGCTGCCCCACCCCACCACCACCTGCCTGCTGCCCCCACCCCACCCCCACCACCTGCCTGCTGCCCCACCCCACCACCACCTGCCTGCTGCCCCACCCCACCACCACCGCCCCACCCACCACCTGCCTGCTGCCCCACCCCACCCCCCACCACCTGCCTGCTGCCCCACCCCACCACCACCTACCTGCTGCCCCACCCCACCCACCACCTGCCTGCTGCCCCACCCCACCCACCACCTGCCTGCTGCCCCACCCCACCCCCACCACCTGCCTGCTGCCCCACCCACCACCTGCCCCACCCCACCCACCACCTGCCCCACCCTACCCCACCCCCACCACCTGCCTGCTGCCCCACCCCACCACCTGCCCCACCCTACCCCACCTCATATATATCCCATCACTGCATCATTACTTTACCAACACCTTCCCTTAACACCTGCCTCCACACACACACCTGCCCCCACACACCTGCCCCCACACACCTGCCTTACCTGAATCACATAATTAATAATATCTGCTGGTGTCTTCATCTGCCCTCAACCCTGTCAGTTGACCTCATGGCCTTGCGGCTACATTAAAGTTGACCTCCCTTGACCTTGAAATCAATATGTCTGCTTGACCTGACTTTCGCAAAATCGATATTATCTACTTTGACGTACGTGTGTGTGTGTGTGTGTGTGTGTGTGTGTGAGGGGGTAATATCTTGTGTGGGGTGTGTGTGGGGTGTAGTGTTGTGTGGGGTGCAGTGTTGTGGGTGTTAGTTCAGGTGGCAGGCTACAGATGGCGCGCACTACGAGGCTATATAGAGAGGCAGGCGAGGGCGGGCTGTCCCAGATGAATTAAAAATGAGGCAATCGCAGGATGGAGACTTCGCCCGGGTGCGCCTCCCTCCCAAGGCACCGACGAGGCCACCTGAGCTGTGTTATTGCAGGTCCACACTGACGCCCATATACCACCTGGCCACACCTACGACCGCTCTTACTCCGCCTGGCCACACCATAAACCACCTGGCCACACCTACGACCGCTCTTACTCCGCCTGGCCACACCATAAACCACCTGGCCACACCTACGACCGCTCTTACTCCGCCTGGCCACACCTACGACCGCTCTTACTCCGCCTGGCCACACCATAAACCACCTGGCCACAACGACGACCGGTTTGCTCCGTCTGGGCACACCGGCCATACCCCACCAGGCCACACTGATAACCACACTAAACCTAAAACAACTGGCATCACTTGGCCACATCAACTGGTCCCTATATTATTATAGTACACCATAAGGCCAAAGACAGTGGCCATGATCTAACCACATGGCCACACTTGCCTCTCTAGACCACAGCGACGGCCATATCTAAGTAGTTATCCCACAATATGGCAGCAGTGGAGGAGTGGTTATCGCTCTAAAAAGACAATTTACGATCCAAGATTCGAATCTCTGTGGTGTAGGCAGTGTGGCATCCTATCCGGGGTGTGTGTGTGTGTGTGTGTGTGTGTTTATATTAGCAGGATATAACGAGAGAGATATAATCTACCCTCTCTCTCGCCCTCTGTGACGTAGGGCCCACGCAAAGGACACACGGGGCTGAACCAAACCATCGTCTAACACAACAAACACCAGAGGGAGGGAGGGAGGGAGGGAGGGAGTTGAGGGAGGGGAGGGAGGGAGGGAGTTGGAGGGAGGGAGGAGGAGGGAGGAGTTGAGGGAGGGAGGGAGGGAGGGAGTTGAGGGAGGGAGGGAGGAGGGAGTTGAGGGAGAGGAGGGAGTGAGGGAGGGAGGGAGGGAGGAGGGAGGGAGTTGAGGAGTGAGGAGGGAGGAGGAGGAGGGAGGGAGGGAGGGGAGGGAGGGAGGAGGGAGGAGGGAGTTGAGGGAGGGAGTGAGTTGAGGAGGGAGAGAGTGAGGGAGTGAGGGAGGGCCAGGAACCACCAACACCACACTACACTACAAGGAGTAATGGTTCTGTCTTACAAGCTGAGGGGAACACCACACACAGACTGAAGGTAAGTGTTTAGAGTATGTGTCCCTCGATACACACACACATGTACACTAAATAACGTCATGTACACAGGTAAGAACGTGCGACGAGGCAATAAAGCCAGTTCTCCATTAAGTAATTCGTGTAGTCTTCCTCCCTCACACCTCCCTCCCTCCCCTCACACCTCCACCCCTCCCCTCACACCTCCACCTCTCTCCCTCACCCCTCACACCTCCCTCCCCCCACACCTCCCTCACACCTCCTCCCCCCTCCCTCACACTCCCTCCCCTCACACCTCCACCTCCCTCCCTCACACCTCCCTCCCTCACACCTCCTCACACACCTCCTCCACCTCTCTCCCTCACACCTCCCCCTCCCTCACACCTCCTCCCCCCTCACACCTCCCTCCCTCACACCTCCCCTCCCCCTCACACCTCCCTCCCTCACACCTCCCCCCACCTCCCTCCCTCACACCTCCCTCCCCTCACACCTCCCCTCCCCCTCACACCTCCCCCTCCCTCACACTCCCTCCCTCACACCTCCCTCCCTCACACCTCCCTCCCTCACACCTCCCTCCCTCACACCTCCCTCCCCTCACACCTCCCCCTCCCCCTCACACCTCCCTCCCCTCATTCAGATCATGACACACACACAAGTACATTTTCCTCATTATTGTTGTATTTATTATTATGCTCTCTCTCTCTCTCTCTCTCTCTCTCTCTCTCTCTCTCTCTCTCTCTCTCTCTCTCTCTCTCTCTCTCTCTCTCTCTCACCCAAGTCTATAGGCCTACTGTATATATAAAAATATGAAAATAAAATATTAAAAATAATAATGACGATGATAACAATAACAACTTTAAAACGTTCTCAAAAGGATTATGTTATTGAAGAACAACATAGACAACGCTTATGGCGCATGAGAGACCTTGAAGAACAGACGCATTGATCACTCGAGTACTATGACGTCATACTCCAGGGGTTAAGACATCACACTCCAGGGGTTAAGACATCATACTCCTGGGGTTAAGACATCACACTCCAGGGGTTAAGACATCATACTCAGGGGTTTAGAACTATCACACTCCTGGGGTTATGACATCACACTCAGGGGTTAAGACATCATACTCCTGGGGTTAAAACATCACACTCCAGGGGTTAAGACATCACACTCCTGGGGTTAAGACATCACACTCCAGGGGTTAAGACATCACACTCCAGGGGTTAAGACATCATACTCCAGGGGTTAAGACATCATACTCCTGGGGTTAAGACATCATACTCCTGGGGTTAAGACATCACACTCCTGGGGTTAAGACATCACACTCCTGGGGTTAAGACATCACACTCCTGGGGTTATGACATCACACTCCTGGGGTTATGACATCACACTCCAGGGGTTAAGACATCATACTCCAGGGGTTAAGACATCATACTCCAGGGGTTAAGACATCACACTCCAGGGGTTAATACATCACACTCCTGGGGTTAAGGAACAAGACATCAGCCGGTACTTACCTCATAGGCTCTGAACAGAAGGTACAGCTCGCGGGGCTTAGCATCCATAGGGAGTCCACTGACGAACAGCGTCCGCACCTGTCGACGAATAATTAAGATATAAACACCTGTACAACCACACACCTGTATGCCACACACGTGGCAAGTGTTTACCCGACTACAAACCTTATACCCGTAAAAACACACACACACACACACACAATACAATAAATGTCAAGCTGAACACCTGTACACACACACCCACACACTACTCTACACCAGTATACCCGAACCAACACCTCACTACACCTCGACTACACCAGCCAATACACTCTACACTTCTTGACCGACGGCCATACACCCATATTTGACCAATGACCTCTAGCTGTGACCTTGACATGAGAGATCAACCTGTTGAACTGATCGTGTGTGTGTGTGTGTGTGTGTGTGTGTATGTGTGTGTGCTAATGTGTGTGTGTGCGTGCGTGTTGTCTTGGTTCCTCACCTCTCATCACTTTTCCTCCACCACATAATAATAATAATAATAATAATAATAATAATAATAATAATAATAATACAACTACCAACAACAATAACAACAACAAATAACCACAATAAAAACACCAACTACAAAAAAATTAACAAATCAAGTCAACAACCCAATCCTTTGCCAAAAAAAACCTAACCTAACCACACCTAACCTTGCTAATGACAGTGACCAGTCAATAGTGGCGCACAGGTACACAACACGTCAATAGTGGCGCACAGGTACACAACACGTCAATAGTGGCGCACAGGTACCACAACACGTCAATGGTGGCGCACAGGTACACAACACGTCAATAGTGGCACTTTTAGGTACACAACACGTCAATAGTGGCGCACGGGTACACAACACGTCAATGGTGGCGCACGAATTTACACAACACGTCAATGGTGGCGCACGGTGCACAACACGCGTCAATGGTGGCGCACAGGTACACAACACGTCAATGGTTGCTGGGTACACAACACGTCAATAGTGGCGCACAGGTACACAACACGTCAATAGTTGCGCACAGGTACACAACACGTCAATAGTGGCGCACAGGTACACAACACGTCAATAGTGGCGCACAGGTACACAACACGTCAATAGTGGCGCACAGGTACACAACACGATCAATGGTCAAGAATGTGTCCTGTTAACTCACCCTACTGTGTCCTGGTGACCCTGTCTACTGAAACTTGTTATCATCTACTGAAACTTAACATATTTAACGGAGAAAAGAGTAACCTTGGCCACTTAGCTAATGGCCAGTAACCAGTGGACAGTACCTTTTGAGGCCATGGGGTGGGTGGGTGGATAGTTCTCTTTCCAGTGGCTACATCTCAATACTAGCTCGACCCTCCCCCTACATTAGGTGATTCGAACCCAACTTTTGAGTACCGGAGTCGGATTCGAAACATACAGAAAGGAGTGATATGATTGGCTAATGGTACCTGTCCCTCCCTGTTCAGATGTCGGGTTCGAATCCTTTATATATGATTATGAACTTTAAGATACTTGTCGTTGAAACAATATTGGAATCTGTTCAAAGTCGGGTTCGGAATTTTGTGAACCAATAATAGGAATGAAATGACGAAAGAAGTAAAAAAAATGTATAAAAATGGGAAACGGTGATAAATAAAATGAAAAAGAGAAAATAATAATAATAATAATAATAATAATAATAATAATACAAGGTGGAAAGAGAGAAATGATGGAATGTGGAAATGGAAAAAAAGACGAAATGATAAGAATTGATGAAAATAATTAATAATTGAGATAGAAAATAAAGATTACAAACACAGACAGACAGAGACAGGATCCATATCCCCCCCCACCCCGTGCTATCAGTAGAGGGGGGGGGGGAGGGGGTTAATAAAGACAAGATAAATGGGACATAGAGACGAGTAATAACTAAGGTGTTTGATACAATCTTCAAGAAGGTCCACTGGGCTGGTGAGGCAGAGTTACCATGATACCAGAGGAACAGTAACACGATGAGGCAGTGTTACCATGATACCAGAGGAACAGTAACACGATGAAGCAGTGTTACCATGATACCAGAGGAACAGTAACACGATGAAGCAGTGTTACCATGATACCAGAGGAACAGTAACACGATGAAGCAGTGTTACCATGATACTAGAGGAACAGTAACACGATGAAGCAGTGTTACCATGATAACAGAGGAACAGTAACACGATGAAGCAGTGTTACCATGATACCAGAGGAACAGTAACACGATGAAGCAGTGTTACCATGATACCAGAGGAACAGTAACACGATGAGGCAGTGTTACCATGATACCAGAGGAACAGCAACACGATGAAGCAGTGTTACCATGATACCAGAGGAACAGTAACACGATGAGGCAGAGTTACCATGATACCAGAGGAACAGTAACACGATGAGGCAGTGTTACCATGTTACCAGAGGAACAGTAACACGATGAAGCAGTGTTACCAATGGCAAAAGACTGCTGGTAAAGTGTTGCCACGAACAGAATGTTGAGTCAGTGTTGCTAATGACAGCGGCGGTGACTCACTGTTAACTAGAAGGGCCGGTAACGTGGAAACACAGTGTTGCCAGCGACAGGAGAGAGGCAAGTCAGTGTTACCAACAGCGGTAGCAGCGACGGCGGGGCCAACTGTTACCAATGACGTGGTGGTGAATCAGCGTTACCAATGGCAGCAAATAGCAAGGAGGAGGGGCGAGGAGGGCGAGAGGGGCGAGGAGGGGGCGTGTGACTAATGTTACAGTGTGGGGAAGTGTATATGTAGGTGGGGTGTATTGTAGGGAGGACAAGTTATTATAGTTAAGGAGCGGCGCTAGCCTACCACCTGCTGCTACACCTACACTCACCACCACACCCCTACAGCATACTGAACACACCCAACAGTACACCTACACACCCCCTACAGTACACGAACACACCCCTACAGTACACCACACCTATGCACACCACCACACCCCTACAGTACACCACCACACCCCTACAGTACACCACCACACCCTACAGCATACCAACACACCCCTACAGCACACCACCACACCCCCTACAGTACACCAAACACACCTACAGTACACCACCACACCCCCTACAGTACACCAACACACCCCTACAGTACACCACCACCACACCCTACAGTACACCACCACACCCCTACAGTACACCACCACACCCCTACAGTACACCACCACACCCCCACAGCACACCACCACACCCCTACAGTACACCACCACATTCCCCTACAGTACACCACCACACCCCTACAGTACACCACCACACCCCTACAGTACACCACCACACCCCTACAGTACACCACCACACCCCTACAGTACACCACCACACCCCTACAGTACACCTACACAGTGCGTATATGTAAGCAACACCAGAAATTCGACATAATTATTTTAAAGCAACACAAACTCACTCAAAGGCGTATTGGGGGGGGAGGGGTGTAGGGTGTGTTGTGGGGGTGTAGGGTGTGTTGTGGTTGTTAGTGTCGTTAATTAAGGCGGTGTACAACTATTATTATTACCGTACTCCTGTTGGCGTGTAAAGTCTACGGTAACGTCACGCCTGAGTTGACTTACTTACTCACAAGTTTTAACACCCCATATCTGTCCCACCTCTATACCCCTTTCGTCCTTCCCACAAATAAAGGGGAGGGAGGGGGGCGAAATGTGGAGGGTGGGGGGGGAGGAAGGGCAGGGGGCTAAGGAGAGGGGGCATCAGTGCACCGGGGCCCTGATAATTTCCTGGTGGTGATCCAGCTGGTAGAGATCTTATCTGACCTGAGCTGACCTCTCCCTCTCCCCCACCACTCGCCTGTCTCCTCCTTCACCACTCGCCTCCCTCCCTTCCTCACCACTCAGCTCCATCCCTTCCTCACTCTGCCTCCTCTCACCACTCGCCTCCCTCCCTTCCTCACCACACTGCCTCCTCACCACTCGCCTCCCTCCTCCTCACCACTCGCCTCCCTCACGACTCGCCTCCTGCCTCCCTCCCTCACCACTGCCTCCCTCCCTCCTCACCACTGCCTGCCTTCCTCACCACACCCCACCATTTGCCCTCTCACTCCTGGCTCTCCTGACCTACGGCTCCTGGATCCCAAGTCTCCATGGTTTCTGGACCAATGGCTCCTCCTCACCTCCAGCCCCCCAGAACACCACCTTTACTCAACCACCACCACACTCTCTCTCTAGCCTCTCTCTCTCTCTGCCTCCGTCTGTCTCTAGCCTCTCCATTTCACCATCTTTCTCCATTTCTTCGTCTGTTTCTCTGTCTTCACACCATTTTCTCATCTGTCTCTCACACGCACCAGAGTGAGAGGCGTAATCCCCAGGTGAGTATGCAACACTGACATTTCTTGCCAATACAGCATCGCCAACACAGCATCGCCAACACAGCATCGCCAACACAGCATCCCCAACACAACATCGCCAACACAACATCGCCAACACACCATCGCCAACACACCATCGCCAACACAGTATCCCCCCAACACAACATCGCCAACACAACATCGCCAACACAACATCGCCAACACACCATCACAACACAGCATCGCCAACACACCATCGCCAACACACCATCGCCAACACAGTATCCCCAACACAACATCGCCAACACAACATCGCCAACACACCATCGCCAACACAACATCGCCAACAGATATAAACAAACCGATCAGCCAAGCATTAATCTTCTACACAATCCTCTACAGAAATCCTAACCCTTTGATATTCCGACCTGGTAATTAATACAGCCAGGTGGACGAATAATTCAAGTGTACACAGAACTAATTAAATGATAACCACAAGTATTATTATTTCAGGGTTTGATTTTTTTTCCGTTGTTGAGAGAGAGAGAGAGAGAGAGAGAGAGAGAGAGAGAGTGGTGCTCACCTCTCACACCACAATAGCCACAAAAACACACCTGCGACAAACTCAAGTACAGACATGAATGTAAAATGACGTCATCTACACATACATATACTGTGTGTGTGTGTGTGTGTCTGTGTGTGTCTGTGTGTGTGTGTGCGCGCGCAAGAAAGCACATAAGCTA